ATCATCTAAGCCACAACAATAGACAATCACAGTCTGCTTAAACTAATAACACACAAAGAATGAAATTTTGCCATGTTTTAATTGAACACACCATATAAACATTCACAGTGCAGGTGGAAAAAGTATGTGAACCTCTAGACTAATGACATCTCCAAGAGCTGATTGGAGTGAGATGTCAGCCAACTGGAGTCCAATCAATGAGATGAGATTGGAGGTGTTTGTTACAGCTGCTCTGCCCTATAAAAAACACACACCAGTTCTGGGTTTGCTTTTCACAAGAAGCATTGCCTGATGTGAATGATGCCTCGCACAAAAGAGCTCTCAGAAGACCTCCGATTAAGAATTGTTGACTTGCATAAAGCTGGAAAGGGTTATAAAAGTATCTCCAAAAGCCTTGCTGTTCATCAGTCCATGGTAAGACAAATTGTCTATAAATGGAGAAAGTTCAGCACTGCTGCTACTCTCCCTAGGAGTGGCCGTCCTGTAAAGATGACTGCAAGAGCACAGCGCAGACTGCTCAATGAGGTGAAGAAGAATCCTAGAGTGTCAGCTAAAGACTTACAAAAGTCACTGGCAAATGCTAACATCCCTGTTAGCGAATCTACAATACGTAAAACACTAAACAAGAATGGATTTCATGGGAGGATACCACAGAGGAAGCCACTGCTGTCCAAACAAAACATTGCTGCACGTTTACAGTTTGCACAAGAGCACCTGGATGTTCCACAGCAGTACTGGCAAAATATTCTGTGGACAGATGAAACCAAAGTTGAGTTGTTTGGAAGAAACACACAACACTATGTGTGGCGAAAAAAAGGCACAGCACACCAACATCAAAACCTCATCCCAACTGTGAAGTATGGTGGTGGGGGCATCATGGTTTGGGGCTGCTTTGCTGCGTCAGGGCCTGGACGGATTGCTATCATCAAAGGAAAAATGAATTCCCAAGTTTATAAAGACATTTTGCAGGAGAACTTAAGGCCATCTGTCTACCAGCTGAAGCTCAACAGACAATGACCCAAAGCATAGAAGTAAATCAACAACAGAATGGCTTAAACAGAAGAAAATACGCCTTGTGAAGTGGCCCAGTCAGAGTCCTGACCTCAACCCGACTGAGATGCTGTGGCATGACCTCAAGAAAGCGATTCACACCAGACATCCCAAGAATATTGCTGAACTGAAACAGTTCTGTAAAGAGGAATGGTCAAGAATTACTCCTGACCGTTGTGCACGTCTGATCTGCAACTACAGGAAACGTTTGGTTGAAGTTATTGCTGCCAAAGGAGGTTCAACCAGTTATTAAATCCAAGGGTTCACATACTTTTCCACCTGCACTGTGAATGTTTACATGGTGTGTTCAATAAAAACATGGCAACATTTCATTCTTTGTGTGTTATTAGTTTAAGCAGACTGTGATTGTCTATTGTTGTGACTCAGATGATGATCAGATCACATTTTATGACCAATTTGGGCAGAAATCCATATCATTCCAAAGGGTTCACATACTTTTTCTTGCAACTGTATTTCCCTAATGTTATATCACAACATGAATATTTTTACTTCTGTTTGGAACTCCCCCAAATCAAATATGTAGCACATAAAGAAAAATAAATGAGAAGACCTTAAAAATTAATGATGAAAAAAATCTTGCAGAAATGACCATATCCATAACTTTTAAAAGAGTTATACAATAGAGCGCAAACACCACATCAGTTTGTACTGAGTAGAGGCACCCATAGCAATGTTCGGTATTATAGCAGGTCTATGCTTCTGCTACTATTACTGCCTGCCTACTAATTAAAAGACATATTGCCATAAGAGAGAATTTCTTCTTTAGTAACTTTTCCATTTTGTTTTTTCGTTTAAAATTGTATAAGTATTAGGTTGCTCTTGTAAATCCATAATTTACACAGGCGGTAAATACAACTGTTGCTGTTGCTGCCTATTTAATAAAAAGCATGTTTTGGCACACTAAAAACCACTTTAAAATAGCACATCTGTATAAAATATACAAGTTGCCTGAATTCGGAATAGTATCTAACACAACTGATTCAACTTCAAAGTTTTGCAAGTTCCTTTCAAATGCTAGTAAATCATAAAACACATACTCTTGACCAATTTTTGAAGACAGATTACACCATTTACACAAATGTAACAAGATTATTATTTTTTCCTTGTTGTTTGATACGTACGCTTTCAAATCTGCATTTATCAAGCCAAATCTAGCAAAAATCTGGAATAATTCACAAATGGTTTAATCCCAAAGTTTGTGTTCCAGTGCTGGATCGCAGTGCCCCTCTATCTGCCCACTAACTGAAATTTTAGAAGTCACTATTCAAAAAAAGGTAAGTACCTGTCCGTTGTTGCCCGAGCCTTCTGTTATTTAAGATGTCAGATAGCAGAAGGACAGGGTAGCAGCGCGATCAAACACAGGAAATATACCTAAAGACAAGCCAATGCCATGGACCTCCTGGCACCATAACAATTTAATTTGAGGTTTTTATGGTGCCCGCAGTTTTCCCCTTAAGGATCACCATAGCAGGGCTTGACAAAAATTACTTGGCATCTACAAGCCAGGAATGCCAGTTTTTTTAAACCAGGAAAGCTTTATTTTCAACGACAAAAATACAGCTCTTAAAGGGACACTATAGTCACCAGGATCACTACAGCTTAATGTAGTGGTGCTAGTGTCTATAACCTGTCCTTGCAGGGAAGAGACAGTGTTTACATGGCTGGCAAGTGACACCTCTAGTGGCAGTCACTCAGACAGCCACTAAAGTGCTTCCTATCTCATCAGGGTACAGCTTAATATAGTGATTCTGGTGTCTATAGCTTGTCCCTGCAGGCTGAGTAAAAAGACCTTCCTCTTTCCCATGAGACTGGAGGAGGGCTGGTCACCTAAACAGACTTACTCGATGACACACACACACACACACTCTCTCTCATTGACAGATAGATACAGACACACACTCACTGATTTGATAAAAACTCACTAATTTGACACACTGACAGACATACAGACACACACTCACAAATTATTATTAATTTTTATTTTAATTTAAGTCCCCCCCAGCCTTTCTACCTTTGGAAGAGATGGAGTGAAAACTTTCCCTGGGGTCCAATGTGGCTGGTATAGTTTTCCTGTAAGTGAACATGTAGTGGGGTACTGAGCAGCTAGCGGTTTAATAAGCTACGCATTCACTTCTATAAGGAGGGGAGGTCCAGGGATGAAACGATATATATCTTGCTCCTTAGGGTGACCAAATGTCACACCCACAAAGTGCCTGCTGGGCCCACTGGACCCACCAGACCCCTATGGACCTACCCTTTGTATAATAATTTAATAAATAATTTTTTATCTGTTGGTTTAGATACTGATAACAATAATAAAACAGTTTAAAATAAAATAATATGGACACAGCTGTGACTAACAATCTAATAATTTGCAAAATGCTCACTACTAAGATAAAAAATAAGACTTTTTTTCATACTTAGAACACCTTCTTCCATTGTACATCCACACCCCTCAGTATGTTACAACAAACAATGACATTTAATTCATTTAGTGCCAATGGCGATGACAAAAATGGAACTAGATAGGCTATATTGTCGCTGTTCCTTGCAACCTCATGTTATTGACTTTAAATGACTGCATGGCTACAGCTTGCAAGATGCATTATACCTGTATACACATTTTAGTATGTCATAGAATCATCCACATAGACTGAAAATGCTCTTCTCAAAGAAGCTGAATTATGGGTGAGTGCTCTGTCTGTTAAGTGACATTATAACGGTTGTGCTCTCTTACTTGGAAATGAAAGAACGTAGAAATAACATTTAAAAAAAGTAAAAACACTAAATTCTTAATATTTTTGCAATTACAGTTTTACAGGACACAGCCTAATTTTTCAAAGATCTATGACATTTCCATAGCTATACGTTTTATTACTGTTATTTTTAGTAGCACATTTATTTATGTACTATAGTAACACTTGTAACTCCTTAGGAGACCGTATTTATTCATCTCTGGGCTTTAGTCAATGAACAGTGAATTGAAAAGAAAATAAAATTTAGTGAAAACTTTTTGGGGGGGGGGTGGTTTATGCATACTTTCCAGTTTACCGTAATTCACTGTTTAGTAAATAAACCCTCATAAATCATGGTTTAAATGACAAAATCTAACCATTTACTTTTCCAAATTGCTCATTTATTAAAATGATGTAACTTTGCTGTCAAGTAACCAATTAGTGAATTAACCCCTACTGACTTTGGAAATGAAGCAATATTTGAAACGGCCATAATTTCTGACATATGGTCTGAAATACTTAAAGGAGCACATAGCTTGCAGCTCCTCCTCTATTGTTGGGGCTTTTGTGTTATTGTTACATTTTATTTGTTCCCATCATCCCACAACATTCTTTCCGTTTTAACCTTCCAGCATCCCTAGTACCGTCTCATTAGTCCCTCCCTCGCCTCCTCCCTATGATAACCGAGGATGCTGCAGCTGGTAGATCTGTCGCCATGACAACCACTTCCAGTTTGGGGGAGGGGAAGGAAGGCCTGTATCATTTACCTTTAAACTAAGCTCACCCACATATTATCCTAAAACCTATGAGATGGATACATCACACAAAACAAGGGGACAATGGACAAATTTAAAACAGATGAAGCAAATGAATTAAAATAGGAGGCATGGAGTGTTGGGTGTCTTTCTCAGATAAGCCCAGCAACATATTTTTTCTTTTTATATATACACACATTTTTTACTTTTTCACCAAAATGTCAACAGTCAAAGCCGTTTAGCTGCATTCAACACCGTGTTACCACAAAACAACACTACACACAAACACATACAACACAGTAAATAATACACTGATGGATATACAGGGGCCTGCCTACTTGCTAAGCATCACACCACATTATGCCAGCAACAGACTATACCCAGCAGAAGATGGGGACACAGCAGGAATACAACACAGAGCAAATAAACCACAACCTACCTACTGCACTGCCTGCTCCTTCATTGCATGTGGGTTTGGCTTCCTTCATGGAGTGTTCTAATGGAGTGCATGTTGCTGATGAAGATGTTTTGCTGTGTTTTCTTTTTTTTTTTTTTTGGTTGATGGTCTCCCTCCTGTAGGTGCCCGGCTTGCTGTGGGGTCTGGATTAGAGAGATACACACATTGTATGGCAGCCAGACACACTGCAAGGACTGCAAGTGACAGAGGCTGCTCTCTGATACCAGGTTTCTTCCTGCTGCCTGTTTGCCTATCATCAGTCTCACAGCAACACTCTGCTGGGATCTTCTGTTATGGAGAGGCGTTAGGGACATAATTCCAGCAAGCCTGCTTGTATAACCTGCATGCTCTCTACTCAAATGAGTGCCATGCAAATAAACACGAAGATAATAGAATGTACACCCATCAAAATATAAACTGTAACACGTATATACAGGTCCTGCTTAGACACTAAACCACTGACACTTTATTATTTACACAGCATCTTATGGGAAAAAAATTAAGGTTATTGCCTTTTGGGCTATTGAAATTTTTAAAAATGCTCTAAAAATAGAAATAATTCAACTTTGAAAAGAGAAAAAAAAAACACCCTATATACTTTCCATACAGAATGACGTTATGTAAACATAGTATTTAATTTTGCTTATCTTGTTTCCATGGTAAGGATTCTGTACAAGTTAATTTAGCAATATCTCAGCAAACTCCCTAGTATTTGGGGTTTATTTATTAGGAAAGGAGCTATGATTAGTATTTGAAAATAGGGTAAATTTTATTTAAAAAACAACCTTACTACAACTTACAAAAAAGGAGTTTACATGGTAAACAGTGGATTGAGGTAAAAGAACAGAAGGATTGCAGATTTTATTGTATCTTTTTTTTTTTTTATTGCAAATGCAAAGGCTAACTATCCCAATTTGAGGATATTTTCTTAAATTAATCAGATTTTGGGTGTAAATAAAAGTCAGTTGGACTATGTATACTGTGCATTTCTTATACATATATATATATATTTTTTTTTAAAATAACATTAAAATTATTATTCTTGGTTTTGTTTCCTGATGTATGGGGTCTGTCACAAGCTTAATGGTAACGTTCCAATATATTAGTTTTTAGTGTACAATGTTTTATACAATGGTAAAGATATACCTATAGTAAAAAAGTGCATAGCGCTTAAAGTTGTGTTACACTTACCCCTAAGGGTTGAACAATGTTAACACTGTAAAAAATAAAAAGGGAACACACATAGTGTACTATAGCGTAGATATTAAGTCAGTGGACTGACTTAAAAAAGGATCCACTCATGTGGTAAAGAGCTCAGTATGGATAGGCTCAGGTCACTTCCGCTTTACTGCATGGTGACACTCAACCTTTTTAGTGAAGTTATAGCAGTCAGTATCCTCATAAGAAAGGAAACCAAACAGGAAGGAGAGGCAGGAGCGCAAAGCCCTAGTGCATTAACTTAACAACAACAAGTTATCACTGTAGTGCACAGTTTGCTTCTCACCTTTTAAGGTGCCTGGACCTGGCACCTAGTAAATAAGCAGATGTATCAATAAGGGACCTTTCTTTACCCTGCAGCAGTCGTAGTAGATGATCCACAGGACACTGTTGCAAATGTAGTAACATAAATTTATTCAATAAAACATACATTTAAAAAACACTCATGTAATTCATCATCCGAGACGCGTTTCGCCAGTCACAGCCCTGCTTTACCAATCGGTAACATGCTGCTGCAGATCCTTCAATTTAAATATCCCTGGGTTTATTGTAATTGGTGAAGCATCACTCGCGATACCACCGATTACGAGCGATGTTCCTGGGGGAGTGGTAGAGGCATTGTTATGCTCTATGTAATGTACTGCTGGGAAACCTTCAAATTCCTCAGATTTTAATCCGATTGAGCATCTGTGGGGTGTGCTAGAACAACAAATCCAATCCATGGAGGCCCCACCTCACAACTTGCAGTACTTTCAGAGGTCTTCTGGAGTTTATGTCTTGACGCATCAGCTGTTTGGGCAGCACGAGGGGTACCTACAAGACATTAGGCAGGTGATTTTACTATTGTGGCTGATTAGTGTACTTCACAATAATGAAACTTGAGTAATCCAGTTTTATCACAATGGGTAAATAGAAAGGAACAAACTAATATGACCAAAAAATATTCACAATATGAATTCTGATGGTGATTGTAGATTTTGTCATATGTATGTAAGATGTATTTGCTCACCTTGCTATTATTAGTGTGAGGGGGTAGATGGGTATAATTTAATTGGTGGGTGTTTAGCAGTTTATTTACTCTTGGGGAGGTGAACATCGCATGCCCAATTCTTCATATTGTATCAATACTTATCCACCCCATGACCATGAGTGGGCGCAGTGGGCGAACTAGAATAGAAAGGGCCCTGGTGCAAGATTTTTTTGACCCCCCTCTATCACAGGCATGGCCAAAGGGTAGATCACCATCTGTCGTACAACTCCCACAATGGTTTGCCAGCTGGGGATCCACCATTTGCCCATCTTTATTGATACACACACATGCACATACAAACACTGACACAGTTCCAGATATAGACACACACATTGACACATCGAGATACACACATACACAGGTACAGACATGCAGATACACAGACACACAAAGACATATACACAGACACACAGGTGTACACAGGTGTACACACTGACACATCCAGATACACACATAGAGATGACACACATACAGATACACAAATGCAGATACACAGACAAACACAGATAGACACGCACACTGACACACATGCAGAGATACAGGCACACAAATATATACAGATACACACACAATAAGCATAGGCGTGCGCACGGGGTGTGCCTGGGCACACCCTAACCCCGCGCACGCCTATGTATATTGAGACCGGCAGGGGAGATCTCAGGATCTCCCCTGTCGGCTCATGCAGAGCGCCGGCTCTGCTCTCAGCCTCCCTCCCCACTGACCCACATGCAGGGAGGAAGGCAGGAGAGGACCCGGCGGAGCTCTTGCCGGCAGCTCCGCTGGGTTCCTCTCGCGAGATATGAGCGTTGCCACGGCAACGCTCAAATCTCGCGAGAGTGAACTCTAGCCCCACAGGGGTTAGAGTTCACTCTCCACTGGACCACCAGGGATCACAACAGCAAGGATCCCCTCCTCCACTGGACCACCAGGGAAGGAAGCAGCAGCACGATCCCCCCTCCCTACAAAAGGTAAGAAGGGAGGGGGGATAGCAAGTAATGTACCCCCACCTCCACCCCCCACAATCACCCACCCACACACATACAACACACACAGCACCCACAGACATACAGCACCCACACACATTCAGCACCCACAGACATACACAGCACCCACACACATTCAGCACCCACAGACATACACAGCACCCACACACATTCAGCACCCACATACATTCAGCACCCACAGACATACAGCACCCACAAACATACACAGCACCCACAGACATACAGCACCCACAGACATACACAGTACCCACACCCATACAGCACCCACAAACATACAGCACCCACACACATACAGCACACACACACACAGCACACACACATACAGCACCCACACACATTCAGCACCCACAGACATACACAGCACCCACACACATTCAGCACCCACAGACATACACAGCACCCACACACATTCAGCACCCACACACATTCAGCACCCACAGACATACAGCACCCACAGACATACATACAGCACCCACAGACATACAGCACCCACACAGCACCCACACACATACAGTACCCACAGACATACACAGCACCCACAGACATACAAGGCACCCACACACATTCAGCACCCACAGACATACAGCATCCACAGACATACAGCATCCACAGACATACAGCACCCACAGACATACACAGCACCCACAGACATACAGCACCCACAGACATACAGCACCCACAGACATACACAGTACCCACACACATACAGCACCCACACACATACAGCACACACACACATACAGCACACACACATACAGCACACACACATACAGCACCCACACACATTCAGCCCCCCCAGACATACACAGCACCCACACACATTCAGCACCCACACACATTCAGCACCCACAGACATACACAGCACCCACACACATTCAGCACCTACAGATATACAGCACCCATAGACATACACAGTACCTACACACATACAGCACACACACACACATACAGCACACACACACAGCACACACATAGAGCACCCACAGACAATACAGCACATACACACATTCAAAGCACCCACAGACATACACAGCAACCCACAGACATACATACAGCACACACACACAGCCCACACACATACAGCACCCACACATTCAGCACCCACAGACATACACAGCACCCACAGACATACAGCACCCACACACATTCAGCACCCACACACATTCAGCACCCACAGACATACACAGCACCCACACACATTCAGCACCCACACACATTCAGCACCCACAGACATACACAGCACCCACAGGCATACAGCATCCACACAGCACCCACACACATACAGTACCCACAGACATACACAGCACCCACAGACATACACAGCACCCACACACATTCAGCACCCACAGACATACAGCACCCACAGACATACACAGCACCCACAGACATACACAGAACTCACAGACATACACAGCACCCACAGACATACACAGCACCCACACACATACAGCACCCACACACACACAGCACCCACACACATACAGCACCCACAGACATACACAGCACCCACACACATTCAGCACCCACATACATTCAGCACCCACAGACATACAGCACCCACAAACATACACAGCACCCACAGACATACACAGCATGCACCCATACACACTGATCACTTCCTCACAGCTTCTTACTGGAATACAGCATAGGAAGAGAGGGAGGAGGTGGCGGAGCAGTCACAGGCAGCGTGAGAGGAGAGATAGATAGCAGCTGCAGCAGATAACTACTCCCACTCCCCTCAACCAGCAGCAGCAGAACTTCAAGCAAGCCACCCTCCTGGAAACAAAAGGTATGTTAACAGGAGGGTGGCTGTAAATATTAAAATTAAAATGTATGTTTTTATGTCAGGTTGTGTGTGTGTGTGTGTGTGTGTGTGTTTGTGAATGTGTGTTTGTTTTTGTCACTGTGTGTGTATATGTGTCATAGTGTGTGTTTGTGTGTCAAAGTGTGTATAGTATTTATTTATAAAATATATGTCAGTGTGTGTGTGTGTGTATCTGTGTGTCAGGGTGTGTGCATGTATCTTTGTGTCTGTGTTTGTATGTGTCTTTGTGTTTATATGTGTATCTGTGTGTTAATGTGTTAATATGTCTTAATATGTCTGAATTTGTAAGTAGGTCAGGGTGTGCATCTGTGTATGTGTGTGTGCATCTGTCTGGCAGGCTGTGCATCTGTGTGTCAAGGTGCATGTGTGTCAGTGTACATGTGTGTGTCAGTGTAGATGTCTCTGTTTGCCAAGGTGTGCATTCGTGTGTGTATACATGTCAGTGTGTGTGCATCTGTGTGTGTGTGTGTGTATGTATGTCAGTGTGCATGTGTGTTGAGGTGCATGTGTGTGTAGGGGTGTGTGTTTCAGTGTGCATGTATCTGTGTGTGTGTATATGTCAGTGTGTACAGAGGTATAACTAGAAACCATGGGGCCCCAGTGCGGAAATTGCACTGGGGCCCCCCATACGTCTCACCCCCCCCCCCAGCCCCTTAGCCCCTCAATGTGTCTCATTCATGCCCCACAGGGTTAGTGCGGCATGGTTGGGGGATTGAGTATGACAACATTTAAGAGGTTAATGAGATAGGGTGAAAGGGGGCAAGTGTGACAGAGTGATGGTGAAAGAGGGTGACAGGATTGGGTGGGTGGGTGAGTGTGACAGTGCGATAGAAGGTGAGTGTAATAGGGTGAATATGGCAGAGCGATGGGTGGTAAGTATGGCATGGGTAAGTGACAGGATTGGTGGAGTTATTGTCAGTGTGGCAGGGTGAAGGGGGGTCACAATGTGGGTGGTGGGGTGACAGTTACACAGACACACCGGTGCATACACTGACACCCATGCAGATATACAAACAAACACACACTGACATACATGCAGATACACACCATATAACACATACAGAAACATACACAGACACAAATGCTGATACACACACTGACACACATGCAAATGCAGACACACAAACTAACACAGAGATACATATATACACGCAGACACACATGCAGATACACAAACACCTAAGGACAAATATTCAAATGCACAGACTGACACTCATAAAGATACAAACAGTGACACACATACAGATACACAGGGCACACACTGACATACAGATTCACAGACATACAAATACACATACAGACACGCAAACACAGACAAATACATACAGACGGACACACACATACAGACACATACATACATGCAGATACACACATACATACAAACATACATACATACATACATACAGAGATATATACATACATACAGAGACACACACATACAGGCAAATATACACATACAGAGACACACGCACACATACATACAGAGACACACATACAGAGACATACACACATAAATACAGAGACACACACACACACATGCAGAGACACACACACATACATACAGACACACACACACACGCATGCAGAGACACACACACACACAAACACAAATACATACAGACACACACTTACATTAGTCACCTTCGTGTTTCCTACCTTTTGGATGCAGGAGGGTGACTTCCCCGGGGTCCAGTGGTGGCTCAGGCTGATGGGAGTCAGAGTTCTCACTTTGAATTCACACACAGATACACATAATCACAGACATACACAAACACAGTAACAGGCCCACAAACGCACACATTCAATCACAGACCCATACACACAATCATGGATAAAGACAATGGGGGGACCAAGCCCTTATATAGACTTTCACACACTATGTCAGTTATCACAAAGTGATTATTCCCCACACTTTGCAATATGACCAAGGGCTCCCTGATTGGTTGGCTTTTATGCCAACCAACCAGAGCGCTCTCATAGTCAAGTCATGAAAGAAGTTAGACATAGTATGGCAAAACCTATAAAAGGGCTTTCCCCATTATCAGAGTTGTTCTGCAGCAAGCAATCCATGTGTGAGGATGGATTATTTTAAAATATATTTTAATTCTTTGTTTATAGATTTAATTTTCTTTCTATTTCCATACATAGCTATAACAAATACAGGTGTTAATAAACTTTGCCAAGAATATATAAAAGAAATATACAGCATAAACAGTAACAATACAACTTATTTTTTGCATGTATTGACATGTATATAATGTACAAGCAACGACCAGAATTACAAGTTTAGTTTAGTTAAAGGAAAATAGGCATTCTGTACATTTATGCCTTGTAAACTCTAATATAGCATACTAGACCTCCAAGATGGATTATTTTTTATTGCAGCATGGTTTTTATTTTTTCTGGAGATATTTTGTTGGGGTTTTTTTAGATCAAGTTTTATTGTTTAATTTAATAAGTGGACTAGGGAATTATGGGTTTTTATTTGCCCTTTTCTGGGATTAAAGATAAGAAGAATTAGAAGAAGGCTTCTGATGGTAAGTATAATTATGTTTTTCAACAGGTATTAGTTTTCTTGCCCCCGTCACTATTATTAAGGTGAGTGGGGTAGGAAGGGAAATGTATTCTTATTGGGGGGTGGCTAGGGATGTGTGGGAACACTAGACACCAAGGGGGGAGGTGGCTCATTCTATTATATGGGTTAGAGCAGTGGTTAGAACAGGGGTGAGGAGAGACCACTAAGGGAGGGAGGGAAGGGGGGTGAGGCGAGACCACTAAGGGAGGGAGGGGGGGGGGGTTGAGGAAATACCACTAAGGGTAGCGGGGGCTGCATCATTCCTCAGGACCTCCGGCTCCAGGGCTCCAGCCAATCTGATCTCCCCCCTCCATGGCCACAGGTGAGATACAGGGAGGGGGGAATAAAACAATACTATTAATGGAAGAAAAAAAAATGTAGGCTTCCCCCCCCACCCACATTTTGCAGCCCCATACATTTACACACACTATACACTAACATTTACACAAACTATACACTAACATATACACACACTATTCACTAAAATTTACACACACTACATCCTTACACAAACATACACTCTGCAGTCACTACACACACTACATCCTTACACAAACACACACTCTGGAGTCACTACACACACTACATCCACTACACAAACACACACTCTGCAGTCACTACACACACTACATCCTTACACAAACACACACTCTGCAGACACTACACATACTACTTCCTAACTCAAACACACACTCTGCAGTACTTACACAAACACACACACACACACTTTGCAGTCACTACACACACTACATCCACTACACAAACACACAGTCTGCAGTCACTATACACACATTAAATACTTACACAAACACACTATGTAGTCACTATACACACACTACATCGACTACACAAAGACACACTCTGCCTCCACACACTGTATTCACTAAACACTACATCCACTACACACACTCTGCATTCACTACACACACACACTACATCCACTACACAAACACACACTCGTGATTACGTGATTTGTGTCAGTGGCACACCCTTTTACATTGACTTCCTGCTTGATTGGACGTTGCTGTTAGGGTTCATGGATTTACTTGAAAGATGAAAACATAAATTAGAGGGAGATTAGCATAGGGTATGTGTTTTCTTATAGCTGCTGTTTTCTTTCTCTCCAGCACCATCTCCATCAGATACATGATGCTTGGGAGGTATGGTTGTTTGAGTGTTTTTGGTCGATAAGATTCTGTAATTAGGCCCGTCATAATTGTCAGCACCAGGCCCACTGGGCTCTTAATCTGGCCCTGACATCGCCGCGCCCTTGCACACAGTTTGGGAACCACTGGGATAAAGGACAATGGCATGTCCACACTGCCTATTTCGTATTTAATTAAGGCCCACTCATCACCCATTTGGTCCTCCCCTCTTTTTTTTAATTAATATTAGGGCACCACTCCCATCACCTAATTGTAAATATTTATGAGACATGACAACACTATATAAAATACCTCCAATATAATAATGTGGAAGGTCTTAGGATTTCCACATAGGATTTTTACTTATTAATGTATTTATTTTTGTGTTGGCTGGTAAGCAAGCAATGGCAATCCGCCACTTAATTAATCCTGGCCAGCGGGCAAATTCTTCTGTGCCTCCTGCCGAATGCATTCTGCTTATGTTTGGTCCTTTATGTGTGATCCCTGTGCTTTATATTGGTTTGGATGTAGATATTATTGATTTTCTGAACAAATGTGACCAACCGAATCCTGACCGCTTTTAGCTTTAGTAAATCTGTGTAAGGCACTTGGCATTTGCAGGGGTTAAAGGGAAAACTGTGAACATTGAAAATAGTTTTTTTATTGTTGGATAGTTCCTTTAAAAATAACTTTTTTGTTTTGTATTTTTTGCATTATTATGTTACTGCCTTATATCTTTATTGTCACTGTCTAATATGAAGTGTTTTACACTTTTTTTTTTACTTTCTGCACAGCCGAAACCGTCCATGAAAATTAGGGGGTATTTCTTTTACCCCATAGTTTCCCTTTAAAACTATTTAAAACGGAATGTGCAGTGTCTATATACTATTTATAGAAAGAAAAATATATATATATATATATATATATTTCCCATAAAAATGTGTTTTATTACACGCCTGGTGCAGGTATTTCAAGAATGAATTTGCCTGAGCAGAAAGAAAATGTATGAACAGGCTACTTTTTGTCTGTCAAAACATCTGGACTTACGACTGTTTCTAATTATTTTACTGGCTAGACTGTAAAGTTTAGGATTTGGCACTAGGGTCCCTCCTAGAGTGCTGCCCAAATCCTTGCAAGCAGCTAATCAAAGACACTTTGCAGGGGGGTCGTTTTTGAGCCGGTTTTGGCCAGCTTTGGATTTTAAAGCTCCAGTGTGAGCTGCACCTCAGATATACTGAGCTGTATTGCAAGAGCTGCTTGTAGACTGGGACCTATTCTCCTGTGCTGTATGTAAACATGAATGTTGGAACCTTGGTGAACTTTGTGTGGGCTTCCTCTCTCTTCAGCCTCCTAGCCGCTGTGCCCGCCTCCGTAAGCCAGAAGTAAGTGATTGCCAGGGAGGTGTTCCTTAAATGCATATATATTGCAATGCATGCTGTACTTACTGTAATTTGCCTGCAGCTGCAGATCCCTGAGCACTATGGAGCAGTCACGATACTGTCTTATCTCAAAACTTTCTACTTGTTCTCTGTTCTGCAGAGTGACTCGGGGGCAACGTTCTAAAAGTAGATGAGCAGCAATAACATTCCATTGGTTTCCATGGTGAATACGCCACTTTTAAATCTTTGCCCCAGAATAACCCATAACCCCACGTATAGTGCAAGTACGCTGTGCTTTTGCAAGTTTTGCAACTCCCGTCACGCTTAGCCAGAGATTAGCAAGGGACGGATGGAGGTTCTAACGTTTTGGACTAATAGAGAATTTCATTCCTGTAATGTACTGTCTGATTCTCAGTTTGAGTGGAGTTGTAGTCCACAGGACCTGGATTGTGTGATATTGTCAATTGTCACTACATGGCTTGCAGTATTGGGATGTCTAAGAATAATGGGAGTTGTAGCTAGCAGCACTAGCTGGAATTATACAAACTGACATCTATTGGCATGTTGTGTTATTTGAAATAGAAATAGGCATGGAATTATTTATGCTTTACAATTCCTATAGGGACAATATATACATTGCTTTACACATTGACCTGTATGTACAGAGCCACTAGAGAAACTTTGTGTTATTAGAGAACAACTAGGGCTCTCTGCTTGATAAATAGGTTCCACAAATTCAGAGAGATTAGGTGAGATGAGGTATGTATTAAAAATGCAAAAGTGGGAAATTATCCAACTATCTCTCTAAATGGATTAAACAAATAAAACAAACAAATTAGATAATATTGAATTCCAACTCCAGTAACAACGTTTGTGTGGATTAATCTCTCGTGTCATCTTATCAAATCGATATTACGCTCGTTTATTGATTATTGCTGAATTTACTATACTATATATATTTATATATATATATTAAAGGTTCATTCATTACTAATTAGTATATGGTTATTTACTAAAGTGAGAATTGTCTAGCCGCTAGCATTTGGAATACAAATATGTTTTTCTAACACTATAGTGTCCTGTAGATGTTTAGGTGTCGAACCCCAGAAGTACTTGAGGAAGTTAGATTGACTTACTATTTCTTCCTCACCATGCTACTCTCTCTGCGGACTCCTCACCTCCTTGGCCTCTGTCTGATGCCACATGGGCCTCACGTAGTCCAATCACAGGCTTCATGGAGAAGCCAGTGATTGGCAATTTTGCCAGCTCATAGCACATGCGCTCAATCTGAGCCGCAAGGGAAGGGGCGAGGAAGGAGGTGAGGGAGGGCAAGAGGGAGAATTTATTGGGGCAAAAAGTACAAGTAGCTGAGGGAGAGAGGGAAGATTAGCACGTCTGTCGCTAACGTGCAGTGTGCACTGACAACAGACACAAAATATGCACTGAATTGACATTGGCAGCCAGTAATAGAATTCTGGGCTGCAAATGTCAAGTGGCCGTGGGTGCAACTAGCGCCAGCACACAATTAACAATATCTCTGTGTATGCAGTGTTTCAAGCTGAAACACTGCACATACTGACTCCTACTACCACTTCAAATCACCAAAGTAGTTATGGTGAGTGGGGTAACCCTTTAAAGAACTTCTCCAACTATTACATACACTAATGTTTATGATGGTAGGAATACCCTGATGCCATTTCCTCTTACATGGGTCCCTGGCCGGCACTGGGTCTCCTCTGTAGGCTGGTTTATGACATCCGATTTTTGCACCACTATAGTAGTTAGATGCTAAAATGCCAATCATTCCTTGTCTGAGAGTGTTAGCTAATCTCTCTCAGCTAGTGAATGACCCTCTGGGCATAGAATTTACATTAAACAACTCAAAACTCTTGATCCGGGTTTGCTAATGATGCTGCAACAACGCTGCTGGAGATGGTGGTACACATTTGGCAGCAAAGGGATTCAACTCAGAATGGTAGCTTGTCAAGATGTAGACACCAGTCACTTTGATTATATCAAATCACTGAAGTGATCATGGTGCTTGAAATAATGATTTGATCAAAGCTATATACATGTTTCACATAAACGTCAAATACTGGACCACATTAAATGAACATTAGAATATTTTGTTCTTTCAGGTGCCATATGGACTTAATATTACTGGTGGCATAAAATTAAAAATGGAAAAATAAAATTTACAAACTGGTTAACACTTTATTGTAGAAGCATTACATAATTATTTTGCTGTTTTTGTTTTGTTTTTAACTATGTGTGCTTTATGATTTTTTTTTTTTTTTTAAACATGAATTACAGTGTTTGGAAAGTGAATGTAAGCGGCCCAATATAGATTGCTAACATTAATGGTGATTATTGCAATCATATAATAGAAAGTAGAGAATGGCTGCTTTAGCAGGGGGTCTGTCTAAATGGGGCTAGTACATGACAGATTTTAATAAAACATTGTAATATTTGCTTTGGATTTAAAAAAAAAAAAAAAAATTATGACGTGTTTTAAAGTGATATTTTATAGAAAGCCAGGACTAGTCTGTTTAATTTTTAAAACCTGCAGCTCACATGACTCTGCACTGCTGAATAGTGCTTTATATTCATATAGAACCTGTCCATCGCAAATCATGTAGATGAAAAGTTCATATACAGAAATGTTATATTCACTATGTGGACTTTGCTGGCCAAACCTCTGGCAAGTGAATAGATCCAAAACTAAGTTTGTCTAAAGTTTAATTTTTTTCATAGATAACTGTAGATTCTGCAAGCAATGATTTATGGGACCTTGCAAAGTCACATCACCAATGGTGGTCCGGTGGCCAATGGGGGTTAGATAAGTGTGAGATTACATTCCTAAACCTGTCCCTCGAGGGTGCCACCATCTTGGGCGTATTGTTCTTATTCAGCACCAGGAGCTGAAGTGTACAGCATTGAGGCCCATTGGGAATCCCGCGAGACAGCAGGTTCCCCTACAGACCCAACCAATACCATGCAGCTGTCTCTGATGACGGCTGCAGGTTTTGACACATAGGCTCCGCCTTGTGTCAGGAAATGTCAGGCAGAAGATAAATACAGAGACAAAGTATACCCTATTTTGTCTCTGTATTTCTCTTGACTGGGTTGGGATTTCAGTGAAATTTAAACACAGTCATAATGAGTATTCCATAAAGATTCTATCTTTTGAAATACTCATTTTTAATATGGGGGTGACAGTGCCGTTTTAAAGTATCACCATGTAATGTTGGCCATGACAGGTGCACTATATGACCACAGTATCATGACTATGCTAGTCATGTTGGCACCATTTGTACAAGTATTGGGGATTTCCATGCTGTACCCCTTCACCACTCAGTGAAAATGTTACATTGTGGGGTACACCCACTCATGAAACTCCTGTTGGATTGAAGGTTTGAGTACCTACACTGTAATGGCTTCAAACTGCACTGTGTTCTATTGGTTGTTATAATGTTTAACATTTTTAACAATTTACAACATTTTAAACTTTTTAAACTGTGACATGTTTATAGTGTATCATGGCATGGTTTAATAACTCTATGTTTTTGAGCTTTTAATTTTACAAAAATATGGCACTTGCATGTGTATTTTGCACAAATGAAAAAAATTAAATAAAATACACAAGTGACAGGTCTTTTTTAAAAATACTTTATTCATTTTAAACCAAATGTTCAGTCCTTTTTACAAATTGTTGTGATTAACAGTTAGTATAGTAACAGTAACATAGTAACAGTTTATAGGGCTTACAACAGCTACTCTTGTTTCTACAGGAGTTTTAAAAATCGACACTGCAATGTCTATACATGCAAGCTAATCAGGAGGCACACAGACACAGGTAGAATGATTAATGGCCGCATTCCTATATCCGCATATTGCAGTGAGCTTGCAGGAAAATTGTTTAGCTAGCGTATGCCGGTACTTAGCAGGACTTTGTAAATTTTATTTGGTTTAATATATTTTGTTCAGCAAACTTTCAAACCTTCCTGTTAATATTTACTGTCTATTATAAAATATGGATTGTTTTACTAGGGTATACTAAAAATAAGAAAAGCCAGTAGTAAAGATAGAACCTAGAGTCAATTTATTCAGGATGGAAGTGTTGTGTTTTGACATTTAGAGATACATTAAATATTCAGAAGGGGTTTTCTCTATCTTTGTATGTGTAAAACGTATCTAAAGAGTTCAAGCTTTTATTGATTTATGTAAATGTGGAGGGTGTACAAAACATTAACATGATTGTTTATTCAACTCAACATTTTTGTGAATTATGTCCAAGTGGCAAATATGAGGCTCAGATAGCTAATTTGGAAAAAGTCTCCAATTTTGTTATTTTAGCCTCAGTTTTGCTATTTCCATGTAATTTCCTAAAATTATAAGTTTTTGCTAAAAAAACAACAAAACAACAACCTATAATAACACATTTGTAGTTTTGCTATGCACACCTCAGTCTCAGTTTCTCAGGGCATAGCTTTTTTCAAAATATCAAACGGTCTGCAGGGGTGGTTGCCCATGGTGAAGAGAATAAATTCCACTACTGCTTTAGATTGGCTGGTAGTAGAAGATACTGGTTGAATAGATCTGGTGAATAGACAGTTTCAATGCATTTAACCCCTTAAGGACACATGACATGTGTGACATGTCATGATTCCCTTTTATTCCAGAAGTTTGGTCCTTAAGGGGTTAATGGATACTTGTCATGGCAACAGATGACTGACTTTGAATACCTGTACTGTACACATTTATTATTTATTTATTTATTTATAAAATATTTTACCAGGAACGATGCATTGAGATTTCTCTTGTTTTCAACTATGTCCTGGGTCCACACATACACTACACACATTCACAGATATACACACATACCAAGACACACACAAATACACATACTTTTTCAGATAGATTGTATTATACCTATTGTTTCAGTAAAATAACTTGAACAATCTTGCTGGATGTATCATATATATATATATATATATATATATATATATATATATATATAACACACACATATATATATATGTGTTAGGGGCACATAGCCGTATAAGGAGTAAGGACCAAGTATAAGCGTAGGATAGTATAAAAGAGCAAGTCGGTTGTGGTGTGCCGGAACCGACTACGCGGAAGGCCTATAAATAAAGAGGGTCCACCAAAGAGTAAGAAAAAGAAAGGAAAAGAGAAAAAGAAAGGAAGGAAAAGCATTGAGAATGTGGAGTGGTGGTGCGTGTTGACTTATTTTTGAATGCGGTAGAGCCAGTAGGTAGTAATCCGTGTGTTTTTGGAGGTGAGATCGATTAAGACAATGAGTTGTGGTGATAGTGGTAAACTCTCTTGGCCTTAGAAAACCATTTAATGGCAAGTGAGTGTATCATTTTGTTTGTTTGTCTGTTTGTTTTGTTACCTTGTGCAATCACATTGTTATCTCTGCTTTTAGGCCCCCCCAGGAGGTGTGTGCCTTTTTCTGTAGCTCATCACTGCATGATGGCATTGTAATGTGACAGGGGTTCTGTCCAGGGCTGACTTCCACCTGTCATTCCCATAATTACTTCTTATCAAACATCTTTCATCTCCAGCATTCTGCTCCAGTATAAAACTGTTTACAATCTGTAAATAATGCCTCTACCGAAATAAACGTAGAAATCAACGTATTGAATACATTAAATATGAACAAATGTTCACTTTGTGAATTTCTAACACTTACAAATTTACTCACTAAACTCTGCATTTTAGTGGATTAAATCACAATATTGAAACTAAAATAGCCAAACTGACTATAGTTCAGTTGGAACATTTTTCCCGATAAGCTATTTTAGCCTTAGTTTTGCAAACTGGATGTTAATTTGATATAATGTGGAGTTAAATGAAAACATGTTTACACAAAAATAATACTTTGATTTTAATTTGCAGTTTAATTTTCCATGCCACCATCTCCATTCTGCCCTTTGTACTACACAGCTGCCCTGGTTAGGAGTTAAAAAAAAAGAATTCCATTGATAAAGTACTTCTAATAATGCATAACAGTATTCTACAGAAAGAAGTTATATATATCATCGCTTACTATGTTTCTTTTCAACATGACCCAACAAAACCAAATGAATAAACATTTTTAGAAATCAATGAAAAGTGAAAATGGAACTGAATGCAATTAACTTCCACATCCTTTCTCTATCCCTATCTCTGCACTGGTGATGCGTGCGGGGAATTATACAAATTCATAGGTGTCTGAGATGGTGCATCTTTTGTTACCACAGTCAGTACACACAGGGCTGTCTTAATGCATGGGCACGCTGAGCAGTTGCCCAGGGGGCCACACAAGCATAGGGGGTCCTATTGGCTTGCCAACTTTTTAAGTATATTATTGAGGGAGATTTATTCAGAATCCTATATTAAAACATTTAGGTAGACTAATCACCTCAGTATCAGCTATTATCTGTACATGCAATCTTGCTGTTGCAAAAACAATGTACACATACTAATTATACATAAGCTAAAACTTGTAGATTCCAGCTTAAAAACATTGCCCGCATACGCCCCTTCCTTACGCAAGATGTTGCCAAGAAACTTGTTCATGCTCTAGTAATCTCTCGCATGGATACAATAATTCTCTCCTAATTGGTCTCCCCAGAAGCCATACTGCCCCCCTACAATCTTTGATTAATGCTGCTGCCAGGCTGATCTTTCTCTCCTGTCACTCCTCTCACACCTCACCCCTCTGTTGATCCTTACAAGTGCCAATTTAAATCACTAACTGTACGGAGCTTCCTGTACCCCTGTTGGGTACCTCCGCTGACGGATGCTCCTAGTGCTTCTCCAGAGAGCTCCAAGCACTTCTCCAGACACCAAAAATACTGCAGACCCCACGAACCGCCGCAGCTTGGTTGGGGCCTCGCTGTCTCCTACACACCTTGGACCTATGAGAAGGCTTCAGGTTCCAGGGGGTGAACCTCTCTTCCTTCAGGAGAGCATCGCAGGAACAGCTCTTACAAGAGCTAGTGATTATCCAAGGGAGTATAACGAGTATAGCTATCCCTGGTGATGATATAGCAGCTCCCTACAATAAGAGACAGAACTCAGTATTGAAGGTGAAGAAGGTCTGATGTTTTAATGGTACTGTGATAAACTGCCTTTTGTCACTGGATTTTTATGTGACCAACTGCCCTTTGCTCCTGGTTTTTGGAGGAGCCTGATTGTCAGCCTCTTGCCTCATGACTATGGCCCTGGGGTGCATGGCCCTTTAAAAACTATATGTGGGCATATTGGGACTTTTTGGGACAATGCCCCTTTAAGACTGTGTCCCCAGACTGTTAAAATACGTTGTGAATGTCATTTTCCTATTTGGTTCGGTAATTAGGGCTTACCGAACCAATTACTGTACAGGCAGACCACACAGAAGTGGAAGTGTGCGGCTAATTTACCTCCCAGGCTGGGGGGTTACTGCAGGTTAATTGCCGACCGCTGGGTGGCCGCCGTTCGTACAGTTGAACACGTGGCGACGGCCATCTTTATTTAATCGAACGCGGTCAGCGGTGTGTGCCATCAAATTCATGGAACTAAAATCGGCTACAAAACGGCACGAACACCGCTGAAGTTTTATCTTCCCTGGAACTATTCGACAAATTGAATGCCGTTCGACAATTCGAACACTGTTCGATAGTTCATTCGACAATTCGAATGGTTTTCGTTCGTCTGTTTGAACTGACTTTAAAATGAGAAATAGACCAGCCCCACAGCCTGATTCTCTGGAACTGTTTTGGGCAGGAAAGCATGCTTGCGGTTTGTCATAAAGGACTTCCAGCTGACTTTTTAACCACGGAGGGAATTGTCTGATTTTTAGGTATGTTTGTATTTGAAGTTTTATCTTCCCTGGAACTATTCAACAAATTGAATGCCGTTCGACAATTCGAACACTGTTCGATAGTTCATTCGACAATTCGAATGGTTTTCGTTCGTCTGTTTGAACTGACTTTAAAATGAGAAATAGACCAGCCCCACAGCCTGATTCTCTGGAACTGTTTTGGGCAGGAAAGCATGCTTGCGGTTTGTCATAAAGGACTTCCAGCTGACTTTTTAACCACGGAGGGAATTGTCTGATTTTTAGGTATGTTTGTATTTGAAGTATGCTGAGTATTTGCACCCTAACTGCAAATTAATGCCTGCAAGACTTCTCATGGGCAGCTCTTTTCCTTTGGAACAGCCTGCCTACCCCTGTCAACCTCTCCCCTAGTCTTCAATCCTTTAAGAAGTCCCTCAATAACCATGTTTTCAGGAGTGCTTATGGCCTCAAAGAGTAACTTCTGTCTCTGAAACTTTCCACTTGCTCTCTCCTAAAGAGCCACACTCAACTCTCACCTTCAGTTCTGCTACTTTCCCACCATGTCTATTTGCTGTCTCTCTCAATACCCTTCCATATTGTGGTTTTATACCCTACCACCTTTAGATTGTAAGCTCGTTTCAGCAGGGTCCTCAACTACCTATTGTTCCTGTTAAGTTTTGTTATTTTCTTATTTGGTAAATTCTCCTCTTATTGTAAAGCACTGCAGAATAAGGTGGCACTATATAAATGCCAATAATAATTATAATAATAATAAACAAGACAAAATCAAGACTTAATTTTTTTGCAGCCATAAAGTTATAATGAAGTTCTTCCAATATTTTTTTTTTTGTTGTAAATATCTTTTTATTGTGTTTTTTTTTTTTTGTCATGGAAAATAACAAGCATGTAGCAGTGAGACTCGCAGGTCTCTGTGGTAGTAGCATAACGATACAAAACAATAACCAAAATCAGTACTGACAGCATGTGTATCAAGGCCGGGGCCTGTGTTTGTACCGTGTCCACCTCTCCCTTGAAGGTATGATCACTACTTGTGATATGCGTGGTCTGGCTCATGCCCTCTACCCCCATTCTCCTGCTTTCTTAGTAGGGGGCGCTTATGGGTGTTGTGGATCGTCGGCTTCTGTTGTGCAAGATCAATCGTGCAAGCCAACCAGTTCCGAAACTGGATTGATCTGGGGTGGGTTGAGGTCAGGAAAGAGCGGGGATGGGGCGTGGTAATGCGATGTAGGGGAGGAGGGAGGAGTGGGGACAAAAAAAGGAGTGCCCCACCTCTGGTGTGCCAAGGCTCCTTGCCCCCTAAGTCCATGGGTCTATGCTGGCCAGCAAACCAGTCGCTTAGTGCTATTCTTATATTGCGGCTTGTTCCTGTCAGGATCGTGACAGGGATCCAACACGCAGAATACAAACAGGGGATAGGTACGTATACCGGACCTTAGAATGGCCGGACTAACGTAAGGAGAAAGCAAAAGAATAGTCAGAGACAAGCCGAGGTCGAGGGAACGAGAGATCAGGTAAGCGAGAGACAAGCCGAGTCAAAAGGACAAGAGAGGAAAGCAGGGTCAAAATACAAGCCGAGTCAGGAACCAAAAGACAATAGAGGTAATTGCACTGAGTGACCAGACTAGCTAGAACCACGACAGGGCAATGAATCATTCCACAGAACCCTTTTTTATACCTTGGCTCTTTAACTGTTGGCTCCGCCCCCAACGGGTCCTGATTGGTTGTTCGGCACTTGGTTGCCGTGATTGACGGGTCGGAACGTGATTGCCGTCATGGCGTCGGCTACTGAGCGCCGCGTCATAAAAGGAGGCGGAGCTATCGCGGCCGGCGTGTAAACGACCGGGAGGAGTGCAAGGATCGGGTGAGTCAGCCCCCCTGGGAGGATGGACGTCTAGGTGTCTAACCTCCTCCGAGGTAGACACCAAAGGTACCCTGACAGTACCCCCCTCTCAGAAACGCCCACCGGGCGGAAGGAACCGGGGCGGGACGGAAAACGAGCATGAAATGCCCGGAGGAGACGAGGGGCATGCACATTTTCATGGACCACCCAAGACCTTTCTTCAGGCCCATACCCCTTCCAGTCAACAAGATATTGCAACTTCCCCCGAGAAATACGAGAATCGAGAATGGATTTGATTTCATATTCCTCCTGACCCTCAACCTGGACAGCGAGAGGGGAGGACTCAGGGGAGGAAAATCTGTTGCAAACCAAAGGCTTCAATAAAGAAACATGAAAAGAGTTAGGGATGCGCAGGGCAGGCGGAAGGGCAAGACGATATGCAACCGGGTTAATCCGACACAGAACCTTGTAAGGGCCTATGTAACGAGGGGCAAATTTCATGGAAGGAACCTTCAAGCGGATGTTTCTGGTACTCAACCACACCCTATCACCCGGGGCAAAAACCGGAGCCACCCGTCTCCGTTTGTCAGCGTGTCGTTTGAACACCATGGAATTCTGAAGAAGAATTCGTCGAGTCTGATCCCACAACTTTCTCAGATTGGCGACATGAACATCAACCGACGGAACCCCTTGGGAAGGGGAAACCGACGGAAGAATGGAAGGATGAAAGCCATAATTCAAGAAAAAGGGGCTAGAACGAGTAGAATCACAAACGAGATTGTTGTGTGCAAACTCTGCCCAAGGAATCAGACCAACCCAATCGTCCTGGTGTTCAGAAACAAAACAACGCAAATATTGTTCAATCTTTTGGTTGGTGCGTTCGGCAGCTCCGTTGGACTGGGGATGATAGGCAGAGGAGAAGTTCAACTTGATGCCTAAGTGAGAACAGAAAGACTTCCAAAAGCGGGAAACAAATTGGGAACCTCTATCAGAAACAATTTCAGAGGGAATACCATGTAGACGAAAAATCTCCCTCGCGAATATCTCAGCTAATTCGGGAGACGAGGGCAGTTTAGGCAAGGGCACGAAATGAGCCATTTTAGTAAACCTGTCAATCACCGTGAGAATAACAGTATGTTTTTTAGAAACAGGCAAATCGACAATGAAATCCATAGCCAAACACGACCATGGTCTCTCGGGAATTTCTAAGGGATGCAAAAGTCCACAAGGGAGCGCGTGAGGTTGCTTAGTCTTCATACAGACAGCACATGCCCTGACGAAATCCCTTATATCCTTACGAAGGGAAGGCCACCAGAAATCTTTAGAAATCAGGGAACACGTTTTGCGTGTGCCGGGGTGCCCAGCAATTTTACTGTCATGAAAGCAATGCAGCAGTTCCACTTGGAGCTCAGGAGGAACGAAGTATCGATCCCCAGGAACAGGTTTGGGAGCTAGATGTTGTACTTTCTTGATCTCAGCAAGCAATGGCGAGTGTATCCTGACACAAGTGTTGGCAATAATATTACACTTAGGAACGATAGAAGACAAAGCTGCTTCAGACACCGTAGAGGGTTCATGTTGACGGGACAATGCATCTGCCTTAGAGTTCTTAGAACCAGGTCTATAAGTGAGCACGTAATTGAAATGTGTCAGAAACAAGGACCAACGAGCTTGCCTGGCGGACAAGCGCTTGGCCTCCCCTATGTAAGACAAATTCTTGTGATCAGTCAAAATAGTAACCGGGTATAATGTCCCCTCCAACAAATGTCTCCATTCCTTTAAAGCCATAATGACCGCTAACAGTTCCCTATCACCAATGTCATATCTACTTTCAGGCCCAGATAATTTCTTGGAAAAAAAACCACAAGGATGTAACGGTTTATCCAAACCTAGCCTTTGGGACAAGATAGCGCCTATACCTGTCTCCGAGGCGTCAACCTCGAGTAAAAAAGGCAAAGATGTGTCAGGATGAACTAATATCGGTGCTGAGGCAAAATGTTCCTTGAGAGTTTTGAAAGCAGAGAGAGCCTCTGTGGACCAAGTCTTGGTATCAGCCCCCTGTCTAGTCATATTAGTAATAGGAGCAATAATAGAAGAGTAACCTTTAATGAAGCGCCTATAATAATTGGAAAATCCGATAAATCTCTGAATGGCCTTGAGTCCCCTGGGCAATGGCCAATCTAAAATCGATTGGAGTTTAATGGGGTCCATCCTAAATCCGTCTCCAGAAATAACGTAGCCAAGAAAGTTTATCTGAGATTGGTCGAAGCTACACTTTTCCAATTTGCAGTACAATCCATGTTGTAACAGTTTGCGCAGTACCCTTCTGACTTGTCTGTGGTGAGTCTCAATCTCTCTAGAGTGTATTAGTATATCATCCAAATATACTATAACGCATTCATGCTGAAATTCCCTAAGAACCTCATTAATAAGGTCCTGGAATACTGCAGGTGCATTGCAAAGCCCGAAGGGCATTACCGTGTATTCATAGTGGCCATAACGGGTATTGAAAGCTGTTTTCCATTCGTCTCCCTGCTGAATTCTCACCAAGTTATAAGCTCCCCTCAAATCTAACTTGGTAAAAATCTTGGAGCCTTTCAGTCGATCAAAGAGCTCAGTAATTAAAGGAATAGGATAAGCATTTCTAACAGTTATCTTATTCAAGCCCCGATAATCAATGCAAGGCCGTAGAGTGCCGTCTTTTTTATCTACAAAAAAGAAACCGGCCCCGGCCGGAGAAGATGATCTCCTAATAAAACCTTTGTCTAGGTTTTCACGTATGTACTCCTCTAGGACTAAGTTTTCCTTAGTGGATAAAGGATATACCGTACCCCTCGGAGGCATAGTACCAGGTAGGAGTCTAATTTTACAGTCGAAAGACCTATGTGGAGGTAAAGTATCAGCCCTCTTTTTGTCAAAGACTGCCTTTAAATCCTGGTACTGTGATGGTATCTGTAAATCTGTAGGTTGGGAAGAGTTAACCGGGGCGCCAACCCTGCAAATTGGTGAGACTTTCTGCACACATCCTTTCTGGCAACCCTGACCCCAGGAGACTATCTCACCCAGTTCCCAGTCAATGATAGGGTTATGCTTCTTAAGCCAGGGATACCCCAAGACTATAGGAACTGAAGGAGATGAGATCAGCATGAGGGATATTCTTTCCTCGTGAAGGATACCAGTGGTTAACTTAATTGATATGGTTTCACGAAAAATCACAGGTTCAGATAATGGTCTACCATCTATGGCCTCAACGGCCAAGGGTGTATCCCTTAGCTGAGATGGGATAGAATGGTTAGTGACAAAGGCTTGGTCAATAAAGCTTTCAGCTGCTCCGGAATCTATCAAAGCCATAGCATTAAGTACTCCCCTTTCCCAGGCTAAAGAAACAGGTATCAGAAGCCTATGATCTTTATAATCATAAATAGAGGACAAGATAGAAACACCCAAGGCCTGTCCTCTTGAGAAACTTAGGTGCGAGCGTTTCCCGGCCGGTTAGGGCAATTTAGGCGTAGGTGACCTCTAATTCCGCAATACATACAAAGACCCTCCCTTCTCCTGTACTGTCTTTCCTCCTCTGAGAGTCGAGTATGACCTATTTGCATAGGTTCTGGGAGAGCTAAAGTAGTAGAATCAGAAGTCTGAAATGAGGGAGCTAGTCTTATGGAGGATCTGCGGGTTCTATCCCGAATATTCTGCCTCTGTCTCATACGTTCATCTATTCGGGAAATAAATGAAATCAGATCCTCCAAATTTTCAGGAAGATCTCTTGTGGCCACCTCATCTAAAATCTCATCAGATAACCCGTTCATAAATACGTCCATATAAGCCTGTTCATTCCACTTGACCTCTGCCGCCAAGGATCTGAACTCCAAGGCATAATCCACTAGGGTTCGGTTATACTGTCTAAGACGTAACAGTAGTCTAGCTGCATTGGCCTTTCTTCCTGGAGGGTCAAAAGCTCTCCTAAATGCAGCGACAAAAGCATTATAATTATAAACTAACGGGTTATCATTTTCCCACAGGGGGTTAGCCCATCTAAGTGCCTTGTCAATGAGCAAGGTAATTATAAATCCAACCTTTGCCCTGTCAGTAGGGTAGGCGTGGGGTTGTAATTCAAAATGAATACCAATCTGGTTTAAAAAACCTCGACAAGTGTCAGGAGCGCCGCCATAGCGTGACGGGGACGTAACACGGGAAGAAGTAGCCACTGTGGCTACCTCTAGGCCTGTACTTATAGGAGAGATAGATGGGGTACGCATCTCCTCTGAGTGACTACTAGGACGAGATAGCAATGCTTGCAGAGCTAGAGCCATCTGGTCCATTCTATGATCCATGGCCTCAAATCTAGAGTCAGGAGAACCGACCTGAGAGTTTGTACCTGCAGGATCCATTGGCCCTGTCGTAATGTCAGGATCGTGACAGGGATCCAACACGCAGAATACAAACAGGGGATAGGTACGTATACCGGACCTTAGAATGGCCGGACTAACGTAAGGAGAAAGCAAAAGAATAGTCAGAGACAAGCCGAGGTCGAGGGAACGAGAGATCAGGTAAGCGAGAGACAAGCCGAGTCAAAAGGACAAGAGAGGAAAGCAGGGTCAAAATACAAGCCGAGTCAGGAACCAAAAGACAATAGAGGTAATTGCACTGAGTGACCAGACTAGCTAGAACCACGACAGGGCAATGAATCATTCCACAGAACCCTTTTTTATACCTTGGCTCTTTAACTGTTGGCTCCGCCCCCAACGGGTCCTGATTGGTTGTTCGGCACTTGGTTGCCGTGATTGACGGGTCGGAACGTGATTGCCGTCATGACGTCGGCTACTGAGCGCCGCGTCATAAAAGGAGGCGGAGCTATCGCGGCCGGCGTGTAAACGACCGGGGGGAGTGCAAGGATCGGGTGAGTCAGCCCCCCTGGGAGGATGGACGTCTAGGTGTCTAACCTCCTCCGAGGTAGACACCAAAGGTACCCTGACAGTTCCTTGATGTGTTGGTCATGAAATTCGGGGGTCGTGGCTGTGGTAAGCCATGGTGTCCTTATGTCTGTATATGTCTGTGTCCTGTCCAGCGCGGTGAACCACAAGTCCTCCAATGTCCTCAGTTCCTCCATCCTTGCGAATCAGTCCGAGAATTGGGAACTTAAACTCAACCTGTCCAAAACAGAACTTCTGGTCTTTCCTGCCTCAAGTGTTGCTACTCCCATGTCTGTCTCCATCCAAGTCAACAGTGCCACCATCACCTCCACCTCGCAGGCTCGCTCCCTAGGTGTTCTCTTTGACTCCGACCTCTCCTTCACCCCTAGTGTCCAGTCGATCTCCAAATACTGCCACTTCCATCTCAAAAACATAGCTCACATCCACCCCTATTTAACACCAGACGCAGCTAAGATGCTGGTCCATGCTATTGTTCTTTTACGCCTTGACTACAGCAATCCCCTTCTCAGTAGTCTAACATGTTCCCAGATTACACCACTGCAATCTATAATGAATGAGGCGGCAAGGCTCATTTTCCTGTCCTCCCACGCCTCCTCCTCTGTCAGTCCCTACATTGGCTTCCAGCTAATATAGGGCTCAATTTAAGATTCTGGTGCTTGCTTACAAGTCCCTACATAATGCTGTTCCAAACTACTTATCCTGCCTAATACACAAGAAGGTCCCGTCGAGGCCCCTGAGCTCTGCCGAAGACCTACGTCTATCCGCTGTCAGTACTCCCACATCTGATGCTCGCCTCCAAAACTTCTCCAGGGCTGCACCTTTTCTGTGGAACTCCCTTCCCTTCTCCATTAGACTTTCACCCAGTCTCCACTCCTTTAAAATATCTTTGAAAACACACTTCTTCAGGAAAGCATATCATTTAAATTGTTAGCGGGTTTTCATTCTCCCCCACCTCACCCATAACTGCTCTCCTACAATTGTCAAAAATAACCTACTAAGTTCTCCGTGAATACTTTTCTAGCAACCTATTTCATTATCCCTACTTATACCCTTTGTGCCACTATACCCCACTCTCTCTGGCATGTAAGCTCATTGAGCAAGGCCCTCAACCCCTCTGTTCCTGTGCGTCCATAAGTCTGGTTACAATTACACGTCTGTTAGTCCACCCATTGTACGGCACTACGGAAGTTGCTGGCACTATATAAATAATAAAATAATAATAATAATGTCAGTTGCCTCCCCATGCTACTTAAATATGGATTAATCTAACATTTTTTAAATGTTTAACCCCTTAAGGACGGTGGGCGTTCTATGCCGTCCTTGGGGACCCGGCTCTAAACGCTGGCGGGTGGCATAGAACGCCCAAGCCGTCCTGTACTTACCCGGTCACCGGCGATCGCGGTGTGGGGACTCACCTGGGAGCCCAGGGAGTCTCCCTCCTTCCTCTTTGGCACCCCTGGGCCATGTGATCGCTAGTTCCTTGCGAGGACTTCACGATCACATGGACGGCATAGTGCCAGTCAGTGCCAGCAGGGAGAGTGACTGTGATGACAGGTACTCCCCCTGCTGCCTGAAAACTGTAAAATAAAAGATTTCATAATAGTTTAAAATAAACTATATACTTAGATCATATATATATTTATTATATATATGATCTAAGTATATATATATATACACCCTGTTCCAAATTATAATGCAAATTCTATTTAAGTGTCACAAAGATTAAATATTTAGTATTTTAGTTTAACTCATGGATGGCATTGTGTCTCAGGGCTCTTCCGATCACTGAAAACAATCTCGGACACCTGTAATAATAATTAGATTGCCAGGTGAGCCCAATTTAAGGAAAAACTACTAAAGGAGGGTGTTCCACATTATTAAGCAGAGCACCATTTTCATGCAATATGGGGAAGAAAAAGGATGTCTCTGCTGCCGAAAAGAGTGAAATAGTTCAATGCCTTGGACGAGGTATGAAACCATTAGATATCTCACGAAAACTTAAGCGTGATCATCGCACTATTAAGAGATTTGTGGGTGATTCAGAGCACAGAAGGGTTTGTGCAGATAAAGGCACATTGAGGAAGATTTCTGCCTGATCCATGCATTGGATCAAGAAAACAGCTGCTAAAATACCATTACATAGCAGCAAACAGATATTTGAAGCTGCTGGTGCCTCTGGAGTCCCACGGACATTAAGGTGTAGAGTCCTCCAGAGTCTTGCAACTGTGCATAAACCTTCTAATCGGCCACCATTAACCAATGCTCACAAGCAAAAACGGCTGCATTGGGCAGAAAAATACATGAAGACTAATTTTCAAACGGTCCTGTTCACTGATGAGTGCCGTGCAACCCTGGATGGTCCAGATGGATGGAGTAGTGGATGGTTGGTAGACGGCCAACCTGTTTCAACAAGACTGCGATGTCAGCAAGGCGGTGGTGGAGTCATGTTTTGGGCCGGAATCATGGGAAGAGAGCTGGTCGGCCCCTTTAGGGTTTAAATGACCTCTGCAAAGTATGGGGAGTTTCTGACTGACCACTTTCTTCCCTGGTACAGAAGAAAGAACTATGCTTTCCGTAATAAAATCATCTTCATGCATGACAATGCACCATCTCATGCCGCAAAGAATACCTCTGCATCAATGGCTGCTATGGGGATAAAAGGAGAGAGAGTCATGATGTGGCCTCCATCCTCCCCTGACCTCAATCCTATTGAGAACCTTTGGAGCATCCTCAAGCAAAAGATCTATAAGGGTGGGAGGCAGTTTACATCCAAACAGCAACTCTGGGAGGCTGTTTTGACATCTTGCAAACAAATTCAAGCAGAAACTGTCCAGAAACTCACAAGTTCAATGGATGCAACACTTGTAAAGCTGCTATCAAATAAGGGGTCCTATGTTAAAATGTAATGTGACCTGTTAAAATTTTTAAAAAGTTAAAATGTTGTTATAAGTTTGATTGAAATAGCTTTTGATTTCAGTAAATATGCTGCAAACACAACAAATGACAATTTTCAGTTCTTTACAACCTATAAAGTGTTTTGAAACTTACTGTGCGTAATAATTTGGAACAGTGCATTGTACGGTTTTTATGTTTAAAAAAAATACTGTTATCTGTTGAATTGTACTCTTAATAGTTGATAACATGAGAATTATGCTGACTGTTATTTACATCAATTATTTAGTTAAATGATAAAAGTATCATTTGCATAATAATTTGGAACAGGATGTGTATATATATATATATATATATATATATATATATTAATAGCAAAATACACGTACAATGATATTGATTAAATATATATACTTGTGACCAAGTGGCTCCTAAAAAATACTGGACATACCCCATTTGCAATACCTTGGGTTGTCTACTTTTGCAAATGGTATGCCATCATGGGGGTAATTCTTATTCCTGGGCTACCATACGGTCTCAAAAGCAAAAATGAAAAATGTAACATGCTATATTATACCCTGTAACTTCCCAAAACACCATAAAACCTGTACATAGGGGGTACTGTTTTACACATAAGACATCGCTGAATACAAATATGTGTATTTTATTGCAGTAAAAGCAAACCGTATTAAGACATTCACAGTTAAAATGTCACGTAGAACTAAATAATTTTTTTAAATTCTTATTTTCTCCAATGTTTTAATATTTTATTCATATTAAATTATGTTTCATACCTAAATATTTGATGTTAAATGAAAGCCCTGTTTCCCCTGAACAGACATATAGCGCAAATTCACGTTTTTGTTTACGTTTTGTTTTGATCAGAATGTGTACATTTGGCTCAGTCCTTAAGGGGTTAAACACCAAGTTTGTTGGAGGTGCCAGTAAATATAAGCTTAATTTTATCGATAATTTAGCTTTTTATTCCTGTGAGTGGTTGTGTAGGCAGGGTCCCAGTGCACTGCTTTGTCCTGAGCCTATAATGCTGTTAAGACAGCCCTAAGTACATATTATTATTAAATATTATTATTATTGGTATTTATATAGCACCAGCTTATTCCGCAGAGCTTTACATTAAAAGATGAATTTAACAAATGAGACAGTTAAAAAATGTTACATGAACAATGAGGAAGGACCCTGCTCAAACGAGCTTACAGTCTAGAGGACATATGATTGAGAATCTCTTTGCTGGCAGAGAATAGTGACAAATCAGGTTCACTGTTTCCCTTCCATTTGGAGAAATAAATTGGCACTATTTAATTTAATTTACTTAGGTAAAGGGCATAACAGTAATGTAATGGTTGACATCCTTGGCTAAATTATAGTAATTATGATCATGGAATTAAAGAATGTTTACATCAAGTATAATTACAGGTGGTCCTCACTTTACGACCTACCTGTTTTACGAAGGCTCGCACCCACGACCAGCTCTGTAGCGTGGAGATTCAAGGGATTTTCCGCGTTAGAAAGCTGGTCTATTCCCCGAACATAGATTCCAGAGATTCCCTGCGCTAGTGAGCTAACCTATGTTTGGGGGAATTCCCGCAAACATAGACTTACTCTCTAGCGCATGCTTGCTACCGCATCCCCACTTAGCGGCCAATTCGTTTTACGACCGAGTCGTAAGAATGGAACCCGGTCAGTAAATGAAGACTATTATTATCTTGTGGTTTAGTGTGTCCAGTCGCTACAGTTTATCTTTACCACTCACTAACTCTCATAAGTAGGGCTACTTTCATTTCTTTATTTCATTTCTAAAATGTGTACTAAATTATACAGCATTGCTTAAATGTGTTGCTAGTAGTTGTATGATGGGGCATATGGGACTCTCCAGGTACACTATAGGCACCAACACAACAATGGATAGGTTGTGATCTAAAATTCATTTTTTTTTCTCCACATCTAAATCTTTTTATTTTTGTTAACTAATATGAAAAGTCCTGAACAGGCCCAGGGATTGTCAGGGATCGCAGTTTCAATCGGAACTGTCATTTCTCTGAAATTTGCACCATTGAATATCAGCTACCGGTATAACTTGTGTTAACTTTTTTTGTGAAGCTTTGTTTTCTTTTTAATTTATAGTAAAGCAGCACTGCCCACCCCCTTTGCAAAATATTTTTTTATAAAGATAGAATCTTTATGAAATACTCAATTTGACTGCGTTAGAATTTCATAGAAATTCCATCCCAGCCAAGAGATATGTGGAGACAAAGTAGGGACTACTTTGTCTCTGTATATTTCCTATGCCTGACACTTCTTGACACTGGGCGGAGCTACACCAGTCAAGAAGTATCAATTACCCAGCTGTCACCAGTGAAGGCTGCCAGAAATTAGGTATTTCTATGGATAATGTCGGCTCCTGGCATTTGAAGCACAAGGAGCAGAAGAGGACCGCCTGGAAGAGGATGGCCGTCCGTCCCACCAGAGCAGCAATGTCACTGACTGGAGTCTTTGCCAATTATGCAAAGTTCTCAGACAGTGACAGTGCCCCTTTAAAGTATTAGCAAATTATACCACCGTTCAGACAATGCAAAACCACAGCAAACATTGCAAATGAAGAGGTGAAATAGAAACATTGTTTCATTATTCCTCTTCTCCGAATGCTTTATCTATGATGACTGCTGGCTGCAAAGGACAGATGGCAGGGAACACCCAGTTACAGGATCAACAGATGTGGATTTCTACTTTAATTTCTATTTTTCAAACATCACAAATACAGAATTGTTAAATATTGGGATAATTAAACATATCAGTAAAAGTTATGGGAATTGATAATACCCCTTTAAAAATGCCTTGCATTATATTTTTACTACCTTTGTGTAGTTGTGGGTAGTAATTTGCTTTTTTCTTTCGAGGTCATTTCTGTATCAACATCTCTCTACAGTTCAATAGGATGCAGTGTTTGCTTTCTATTTAAATTGTCTTTACTTTGTTTCTACTATATTTATTTACCTATTTATTTTGCATAATGCAGGAATTATCCCTCGGCGTCGTCCTCTTCCTGCAAATTGAAGCCAGCTGCATCAGAAAAACGCTGCAGGTCTCCAGATGGATTAATATGTAGTGGCAGGGGCACATGTGTCTGTGGAGTTTGTTTCTGTGAAGTTAAAGAAACCGGCAAGTACTATGGGCCATTATGTGAGTGTCAGGACTGGGTATGTCACACCTACGAGGGACAAACATGTGCAGGTAACATCACAGAATCATATATTCTCATAATGGTCAGCAAATGCAGATAGAATCAAGCATTAACACAAAGCACAAACGTCAACTAAGAAATATGTGCAAATTCCAAAAACATGATGGCATTTGTAGCCTACGTTTGCTGCATGATTGATTCCGTATATGTGCTAAATATTTTCTAAAAATGTTTACAGGTTGAAATATCATGTGCACAAGTGGGAGGCTAATGGCTTCAACGGCCTGTAGCTGAATGGGAGACTGGGCTTAAAGTGTCACTGTCTGGGGACTTTGCAGAATTTGCACTGTCTGTGACATCACCTCTGGGATTCCAGTGGCCAGGAGGAGGTAGGCAAAGGTGTGATCTACTTACCTGAACCTGCCATCTTCTTCCACTGGGTTCTCTTAAGCTAGCCAATGTCACTGCTTAACACTCGCTTGTGCGCGAGAGTACAGCATTGAGGTCCATGGAGGATCTCACGGTCTTGTGGGGGTGACAGTGCTGCTTTAAGTACAGAACTTGAATTCTAGTAGAGAACTAGAATGTAATTGTAAAATACTTCTGAAATTTATTAAGAATGCTTGAATTCGTTCATTGCATCAACCACTTGATTACTGACTTAACCTTCATTTGATGCTTTATTGCTTGGCTTGTGCCGTAGTTTGCTTCTTAAGAGTTTTCTCCTGTTTGCTAATTCAGCTTGGTACATGAATTTATGTCTATTTTCTGGGACCTTGTCTCTTAAAAAGATGTCCAATGCTTCTGCTTTCAGTTGCTAGGATGCAGGGGTGTACCTAGAGCATTTGGCACCCGGGGCGGGTCCTCATTTTGGCACCACCCCTCCCCACCCCCACACACTTCAAAATGTAAAAAACACCTGCACATTTTTAAAATGTATGTAGCATTGAGCAGTGTTTGCATGTTTCAATGTAAGCATGTTTTTGTATGGAGAATGTGTGAGTGAATTTAGAGGTGTGTTTTTTGTAGTGTTGGCATCTTAATGCAGGCATGCATTTGTGTGTAGTGTTGGCGAGACGCAGTGGTATGGTTATATATAATGGTGATGAGGGAGGGTATTATGACAAGGCAGGGGGGAATATGACAGGGAGGGTAGTATTATGACAAGCCTAGGGTGTATATGGCAGGGAGGGTATTATGACAAGGCGGGGATGTATAAGGCAGGGAGGGTATTATGACAAGGCGGGGATGTATAAGGCAGGGAGGGTATTATGATTAGATGGGTATAAGGGATATATGGCAGGGAGGGTATTATGATTGGATGGGGAATAGTAATATATGGCAGGGAGGGTGAGGGTATAATGGCAGGGAGGGTGGGAATATAATGGCAGGGAGGGTATTATGATTAGATGGGGAATAGGAATATATGGCAGGGAGGGTGGGGGTATAATGGCAGAGAGGGTATTATGATTAGATGGGGAATAGGAATATATGGCAGGGAAGGTGGGGGTATAATGGCAGGGAGGGTGTTATGATTAGGTGGGAATAATGGATATATGGCAGGGAGGGTGGGGGTATAATGGCAGGGAGGGTGAGGGCATAATAGCAGGGTGGGTATTATGATTAGATGGGGAATAGGAATATATGGCAGGGAAGGTGGGGGTATAATGGCAGGGAGGGTATTATGATTAGGTGGGAATAATGGATATATGGCAGGGAGGGTGGGGGTATAATGGCAGAGAGGGTATTATGATTAGATGGGGAATAGGAATATATGGCAGGGAAGGTGGGGGTATAATGGCAGGGAGGGTGTTATGATTAGGTGGGAATAATGGATATATGGCAGGGAGGGTGGGGGTATAATGGCAGGGAGGGTGAGGGCATAATAGCAGGGTGGGTACAGGGCCGGACTGGCCCACCGGGATACCGGGAAATTTCCCGGTGGGCCGGGGCACTTGGGGCCGCACAGTGCAGAGTCTTCTCCTCCCCCCACCCAGTACATGTCTGGGGCTTAATAAGCTGAGGAGTGAAGGGCCCCTCTCAGCTCTAAATCGGCACTGTACTTTATGCACTCGCGAGCAGCAGGCACGCCAAAATAAACTTTGAATGCTGCTCGCGAGTGATGCATAAGGAGCAGGTGAGGGAGGTAGCCCTTTGCCTGCCTGACAGAAAGCATGTGAGCTGGGCAGCCCACGCGGGTCCTCTGACATTTTGCTTCCTGTGTGTAAAGTGCTGGCAGGCAGGGAGAGGAGCGAGCATGGGGCCAGACAGAGCTGCAGGCAGGCTGCTTTTCAGCCAGGAGCTGAGCACAGATCAAAGAGCAAGATGGGCTCAGTGAGCAGTGGCACCCAGGTATTTTATGTTCATTTCCAAGATTCTTAGGTTGTGTGTATATTTGAGTGTGTAATTGTGTGTGGGAGGTGTTTTTGAAGGTATTATGTGTGTGTCAGTATGGATTAGTGTGTGTGTGTGTGTGTGTCAGTATGGATCAATGTATGTGTCAGTATGGATCAATGTATGGATCAATGTGTGTGTCAGTATGGATCAATGTATGTGTCAGTATGGATCAATGTATGTGTCAGTATGGATCAATGTGTGTGTCAGTATGGATCAATGTATGGATCAATGTGTGTGTCAGTATGGATCAATGTATGTGTCGGTATGGATCAATGTAAGTGTCAGTATGGATCAATGTATGTGTTAGTATGGATCTATGTCTGTGTCGGTATGGATCAATGTATGGATCAATGTAAGTGTCAGTATGTATCAATGTATGTGTCAGTATGTATCAATGTATGTGTCAGTATGGATCAATGTATGTGTCAGTATGTATCAATGTATGTGTCAGTATGGATCAATGTAAGTGTCTGTATGGATCAGTATGGATTAGTTTGTGTGTGTGTGTGTCAGTATAGATCACTGTGTTTGTCTGTGTGTGTGTGTTTCAGTATGGATCACTGTTTGTGTGTGTCAGTATGGATGACTGTGTGTGTGTCAGTATGGATCATTGTGCACCAGTGTGTGTGTGTGTGTGTGTGTGTGTGTGTGTGTGTGTGTATATATGTGGGCATCAGTACGTGCCAGTGAGTATCCATTAATCAAAAATCTGTGTTGATGCCTATATATGTTTTTTTTTTTGTTTGTTTTTTAAAATGACATGTTGAATTAAAAAAATTAAATATAGCTTTGCTTTATCTATGTGATTTGTGGAAGTATTATGCATACATACATACATACATATGCACAAATGGTATTATATCACTATATATGTATGTGTGTGTATGTATATATATCACAAGCATAATTTAAATATTATGTTTATAATATATTCATGCATAATACACTTGGAAATTACACACACACACAAAATTTAATATTTTTAATTTTAAAAAGTGAAAATACAAATTTCATGGGGGGCGGGGCCTGACCGCCATGCTGACCGGTCGCAGGCCGGAGAGGCTCCTGATCAATCAGGTCCAATATCGCTAAAAACTTAAGCAACACAACAAACTAAGTGACCTGAAAGCTATATCAAGCAGCCGGGCAGAAGCTGGTGCCACCGCAGATCCTGAGATCGGGAGTGCCAGAGCCCTCTGCGGGTGATACGAGACTTCGGGGTTTGCGGCCTATGAGGGTGGAGAACGGGACGGACGGCCGCTGTCCTGTTTGCGAACCTGGCCGCCACGCAACAGCCTTGTGATGCACCTCACAGGCCTCACCTCCCCCCCATGGACCGGGGGTTCATCCCGGTCCCCACCGGAGGGAATCATCGCCCTACAGAGCCCAGCACCGAACCTACCTGGAGGCGCGCGCCATGGGCCGGGCCTCTAAAATAGCGGCACTGCAATCTGCACTACACCACAAACCTTGCATGCCTGCAGACGAAAACAACCCGCCGAACCATACCCTTACTAAATAAGCCTGATCATGCCGTCTGACTGCTTGGAGAACGGGTTGGGGCAGGAGATAGAAGGTATCGTGGGCGAACGGAGCCCATGGAAGCACCACTCACCAGATATCCCTGAAGCTGGGCCTGGAAAAAGGCCGACTGAAGCGACCCACTGGCGGCAGCTACGGAAAACCTACCAACCTACTGAATTCAACCGACGCCTAAGCAATAAAGCCCATCGGCTCACTAAATGCCACTAACCAACGAGCGGCTCGCAAACACCATGACACTCTCACGCACAGACCTCCATACCTCGTCACCTAGTGAAGATGGCTGACCCCAGCCTCGGACTTGCCGACCACGCAGTGCCCCACTATGTTACATCACAGACGGAACACGCAACACTATGGGGACAGTGACAGGCATAAGGACAGGTCTCTCACCGGTGGTTTTAATTTTTACTTTAATTTTTACTTGTTAATCTTTAAATATTCACGCTTACTACTGCACACTATATTGCCCTGTTAATTAAGCTATCCTCTAGCTGATGATTGGTGCCAGGAGCTTTGTTAATGAGCGACCTCAACTTGAATACATGTTTAATCTCATGTCCTAAAATACCTACCTGTTAGCACGTTGTATAGAGCTCTTTGTGGCATTACCCAGCTTGAATCCTCGACACATGTAATCATATTCAATAGGCAGCATGTGGCAGTACACTAGTTTCCCTCCATAAGCAATGAATATAACCTCTTCGTTAACACCTTTTGTCTTATATAAAAATGTGCAGCAATCTTAACATGTATAATGATATTACTCATGATACTCTGTAACGCAATCTAATAACATGTTAATGCCAAGCTATGTACTGAATAATGCACTACCAAAAAAAAAAAAAAATGTGCTGTTTATCTACTGCCATGTCTTTGTACCAGTTATGTTTGACGATATTGCACTTGTACCTGCTGTCATGGCGGAACAAGCGCTGTTGTTATATATCTTGCACAACAAAAATAAAGAATTATAATAAAATACAAATTTCATAATTTAAACCAAAATAGCGGATTTGAAACAAAATTTCAACATTTGTATAGTGACAGCTTGACTATTGTAGCCTAAATTTAGCAATTTACCTTTTCATTCACAAGAAATATTAGTTTAGTGGATAACCCTGCCTATCTCTCAGTCTTTCATTCCCTGGTATAAAACTACATACAACGAAGAGTGCGCTCATAGGAATGAGGACTAAACAAAATAACATTTATTTAAAATCAGACGTGCAGCAGCATTCAGTCAATGTTTCATTCCCATTACTGGACCTTTCAAAATTATAAGGATGAAACGTTGAAGTAAGATGTTGCACATCTGATTAGAATAAAACGGCGCTTTTGTTAATTTTAAGTCCTGTGAGTACACTCCTTCTTGTTGGTTAAATAGCTGTAACTGTATATCTGTCACAGCTGGCACAATTAATGATAGGGCTGGTATAACATTTTTCCAGGGCCGCCTTTTATTCCCAGTCCGGCCCTGGGTGGGTATTATGATTAGATGGGGAGTAGGAATATATGGCAGAGAGGGTGAGGGTATAATGGCAGGGAGGGTGTTATGATTAGGTAGGGGTGAATTTACAATACTATTATTAGCTTACCATTCAGGGGGTGCAGTAGGGACTGTCTTTCACACCCACCCTGTCCCTTGGTGGTATCATCTCCTCCCCCCCCTCCTCTGGTGGTATCCCCCCCCCCCCCTCTCCCTGCTGGTCTCTCCCCCTCTCCCCTCTCCTGGTGGTCTCCCCTTCCCTTTGTATGTCTGTGTAGCGTGGCCAGGCGGAGCGGACCATGGTACAGGAGCTTCTGTTTCCTGTGCTTGACCAGACTTACAGGAAGTGTTTTCTCAGTCACACTACACTGATTGACAGGTAGGAGGGAGCGCTGTGTGCTTCCCTCCTGCCGGGTCACTCGTATCTTGCGCTCCAGACAGCCGGTGAGCTCTAATAGACACCACGGCCCTGGCTGTGCCGCCTGAAGGCGACTGCAGTATGAGGAGCGCCGCAATGGCAGTGCATGGTGTCCCCTTCAAAGCTGCACCATAGACGACTGCCTAAATAGCTCATAGGAAGCGCCAGCCCTGCCTGTATCCAAAATTCTCAGCTTGTACCTGTCACTGAAGGTTTACTTCTGTGTTACCCGAGCCACATCAGAGGGGCTAGGATTTACATGTAAGGTTTTTGTCAAACAGTTTGAAAATGGTTTGAGACAGTTTGGGTAGGACTATATCCAACATACTGTTTGCAGCACAGCTAATAGAATGAATAATGTTTACCTTTTGCAAGCTTTACATTATAATTGTAACTGTATAATTGTAAGAATTGTATCATTGTTTCCTGCCAATTACCATTCAATTCTGAAATAAATAAATCTTTGTAACTCTTTGCATCCTCCATTAGAGTGCCACGCCCACTCGATGGCCAGTTTAGCACACGCAGACTAGTTTGCCTATCGTTTATTTTCTCTAACTTCTATATATTAATTTGATTAATATAAACAGGTAACAAGCAGCAGTTGCACAAATAAAATGAAAGAGGATACAATGTACATGTATACGTTAGGATCAGATACTTGGCCCAGTAGAATTTTCAGTAATGCACACCTGAACCTAGCTTTCTCGCATAGGAAGAAGTTTGTAGGGTACGTGAATCCACTGTCACCACTGTAAAAAAACCACAGGTTCTGAGGCACATTACATCCTGCAGTCACATCACTGTAAACATCTAGGGCTAGTCAACACCATCAATACTGCATCAGTGCATATTACACCAAAGCACATTATTACACCCCTGCATATCACACAGATACATATATTTTAACCAGGGCCGCCATCAGAAATTTTGGGGCCCCTAACACACCTCAAGGTCTTAGCCCCCTGGGGGCCCATTTCCAAGCCCACCCCCAAAATCCCACCTCGCGTCCAATGCCTGCCCACAGAAATACACGCACACAGATACAAACATACCCACTGACACAAAAAGGACACAGACACACACACAAAGATACACACATACTGACACACACACACATACATACTAACAGACACACATACTGAAACAGACACACAAATATATACAGTCACAGAGACATTCATAGTGACACACAGACACATACTAACATACATACAGACACATATATACACATTAATATACATAGATATACAAATACATACTGACACATACATACATACACATACATAGATACTGGCATACACATAAAAATACATAAAAATACAGCCAGCGCGAGGCCTTAGACGGCCGCCTAAACCGCCTAATTAGAGAGCCGCCTCTGTATACATGTATAATATATAGGCACTCATACTGACATACATATTGGCATACACATACATACATACTGACATACATCCTCACATACACATACTCACATACATACATACATACATACATACACATACATACAGATAGATACATACAGATAGATACATATATACATACATAGAGATACATAAATATATACATACATACACAGCTAATTTTTCAGCGTGCAGTTCTGCCGCTACACATGGGCCCGGGTCTCCAAGGGCCACTAGGGCAGACTAGATGGGCCAAATGGTTCTTATCTGCCGTCACATTTTATGTTTCTATGTTTACACATGAGCCAAGACTTCATGAAGGGTAGAAGAAGTCTGAGGCTTTATTGATACATGTTTGCTTATATACAATTCATCAGGCCAAAGGCACACCCACTGGACCTGATGGAACACCGCATTTCAAAGTGTACAGACCAATAAAAATAGTGTAACCGACACTCCCACATACATTACACAATCCCTCATCTCTGCCTGTGATATAATTAAGGTAGCTAATAGAGTAGCCTAATTACCCACAGACAGAAAAACACACATTTTCCCCAAAGTCCAGAAAGCACCCCAAAACATAACATATCCCCATAAATAGCCCTGGATAGCCCTGATCTGGGTCAGCAACATATCCAAAAATCACCCAGATCAGAACAGGGGTTCAAAAGTTTTATGGAAGTCCCTTTTGACTTACCGCACGCATTATTTCATGCCCAAAACAATACCAGAGAATTTGTCTGTGCAGCCGGTCTATTTCCAGTGGCTGAGTTCACTTTGAATGCACGAACGGGTGCTGTTTGTGCTCAAAGTCCATGTTGAAGTGCCGTTCAAATTGTCGAACAGCGTTTGACTCCAGTCGAAGTCCAGAGAAGGTAAAGTTTCAGCGGTGTTCGTGCCGTCGTGTGTCTGATTTGAGTTCCATGAACTCGACGACAAAACACTGCTGGCCGCCGCCACCACGTGTTCGAATGTCAAAGGGCGGCCACTTCGACTACTTCAACACTTCGGCTGTATCCGAAGTGCTACTTTGAAGGTGTAAAACTTTCCAATATAATTTAAAGGGGCAGAAACAGTGCCTTAAAACCCAATATGCCCAAATTGTGTTTTTAAAGGGCAATACATCCCAGGAGCCATAGTCACAGGGCAAGAGGCTGGCAAGCAGGCCTCTTCAAATCCCAGTGATGAAGGTGCTTTCATCACACATCTTCCCTCCCATGGGGAGACTAACCAGGTACCTGACCTCCTGTCGATCAGTACCTGAGTTAGTCGAGCAGCCCACCCACAACCAACTACTGCACCTGTAGTTCTTGGGTGTCCAGCTTTGTCTTGTCTGTCCTAGGCTGCAGAGGGTATGTCTGCCACCCCTATTCTCCCTCGTGCTCCCAGGCATGGGGCTGTAGGTACGTGGTGGGCAGAGGCCAACTGTGCTCTGCCCTGGTGCCAGCGCTTCTGCTGGGGAGGCCTGCAGGTATTCAGGCCCTGAACCAAGGAGTAGTTGTGGAGAGGAGGGACCGCCCACCTCCTCCTCCTGGCACTCCAGTAATGTAGGTTGGGGATCTGGACCGACCGTCCAGCATCTCTGTAGGGTTGGTGCAGAGACCATGGTCCCATCTGCACCTTCGGGGACAGGAGTGCCACCCCTCTGTAGCTGGGGAGAGGGACCGGTTGTCTCCTCTCCCTGTAAGGTAAGCGGCCGCTGGGGAGAGTGATATGCTCCTCTCCATGTAACACACACTGCCGCTAGAGAGCGAGACCGACCGTCTCCACTCTCAATAACTTGTCCTGCTGCTGGAGAGGGAGACCAGTTGTCTCCTCTCCCAGTGAGATGCTCTGCTGCTGGGGAGATGACAGGTTGTCTCCTCTTCCTGGTAGGTAAGCTGCTGCTGGGGAGTCAGATCGATTGTCTCGACTCCTGGTAACGCTGCCTGGTGCTTAACTGCTGGCTGCTGCTGGGACAAGGGACCCAGGGTGGTGGGGTGGTGAGGCTGAGGCTGAAGGAGGTAGTGAGGCTGAGGGTGGTGAGGCTGAGGGTGGTGGGGGTAGTGAGGCTGAGGGTGGTGGGGCTGAGGGTGGTGGGGTAGTGAGGCTGGAGGGTGAAGGGGTGCAGAGGCTGGAAAGGTGCAGTGAGGCTGAAGGGGGGCAGAGGCTGAGGGTGGTGGGGTTTAGTCAGGCTGAGGGTGGTGGGGGGTAGTGAGGCTGAGGGGTGGTGAGGCTGAGGGTGGTGGGGGTAGGAGGCTGAGGGTGCGGTGGGGCTGAGGGTGGTGAGGCTGAGGGTGGTGGGGGTAGTGAGGCTGAGGGTGGTGGGGCTGAGGGTGGTGGGGTGGTGAGGCTGAAGGGGGTAGTGAGGCTGAGAGTGGTGGGGTAGTGAGGCTGAGGGTGGTGGGGGTAGTCAGGCTGAGGGTGGTGGGGGTAGTGAGTCTGAGGCTAAATGGGGTAGTGAGGCTGAGGGTGGTGGGGGTAGTGAGGCTGAGGGTGGTGAGGCTGAGGGTGAAGGGGGTAGTGAGGCTGAGGGTGGTGGGGGTGGTGAGCCTGAGGGTGGTGGGGGTGGTGAGGCTGAGGGGGGGTGGTGAGGCTGAGGGTGAAAAGGGGGAGTGATGGTGAGAGAGCCTACCTTCATCCCTGGTGGTCCAGTGGGCTCCCTGGTGGTCCGGTGGCCATTGCTTCCGGTCTGCAGCTCCGCAGAGCTGCAGACCATGTAATCTCGCGAGATGTGAGAGCGTTGCCGTGGTAACCCGCGGCAACGCTCTGATTGGTCAATTCTCGCGAGACACATGGTCTGCAGCTCTGCACACTGCGGAGCTGTAGACCTGTGTCTGCGATGGTGGCCGGGCAGCCAGGAGGGGCCTCGCCCGGTATGCCGCCGGGCCCCCTCCTGGTGTCAGGTCCTCGGTCACTGACCGAGGGCCTGACACAGACTGCCCACAGGCGTTTTAGGCGGCCGCGAGGCCCCAGCCAGCGCGAGGCCTTAGACGGCCGCCTAAACCGCCTAATTAGAGAGCCGCCTCTGTATACATGTATAATATATAGGCACTCATACACACATTATACACATGTAAAGATACGTAAATGACATATGCTCTCACATACACCCATTTGTAAGAAATCTGTACCTGGTTTAGGATGTTGGGAATGAGAGGTGCGTTTCACCATCTATGGTTAATAATCTGTACTACTGACCACATTGCTCTACATTTTTGACGACTGTGTTTCGAATGATGCCCATTATTGTGAAAGGAGAGTGACATATACCAGGAGCAGATATATAAAGGGAGGGGAACGATATGTGAAAAGGGAAGCGCATTATAGCTACATTCATATACAGCAATGTAAAGTCCAGAACCCAGGTGTCAGTGAACCTTGGCTCACCCCTGGCCACTTGATTTATGAGACAATCCATCCACCTTGCCGGTACCCTGGAAACCGAGAGTTAACTCTGGGGGCTGGCTGTTTTAGATGGTACATTATGATAAATAAATTGAATTACCTTCTTCACAGAGAGGGTAAACTTTTCACCTCGTCTTTGCACAGAGCGGTCCACGAAGGTGTTTTTATTAATGCTTTAGGGGTTAGTTATTTTAGAAGTTCCACAGGGTGGATTGATTAATATGGAAAGAATTTCCATAAAACTGTTTTCCTTTTTTTTTTTTTAAGAAGCGGGGGAAGGGAGCCCAAGGCATGTGGATTGAAAGCTTCTAATGTAGTTTCACCCCAACGTGTCCATTTTAAATGCCAAAAACCACAATTAGAAATGCCTCAATGTAAGAGGAGTTTCATAAAAAAAAAAAAGAAAAAACTATGATACATTCCAATCAAGGGTTCGACCTAACATGCAAGGAAAGGGAGAGATTTAACACACATTGAGTAAAGGATATAACATCTGCATAAATTAAATAAAAATTGTAAATGAATAATGTAAGCATTGCACACATCAAAGACACAAATATATCCAGCTAATACTGTACATCAGTTATAGCTACAGGGTTTTTTACTAAGAACCTTAGCAACTCATTATTAACCGTTATTCTGAGGCTGAAATGAAAATGCAGTTTTATTCATTTACATCCACTGAATTTGTGCAAAATAAACACCTAATTCCATCTGAAAATGTTTCCCCTTCATATTGGGCCCTAGCCGACTAGTGCCTAGAGCAGCCAAATTAAAGAAACACTAAAGCAAATCTTTATACCTATCACTTTAGTCCCCCTCCCTGTGTGTAAAAAAAAAAAAAAAAAGATTTTTACTTACCTTTTCCCAGCTCTTGGTGCTGTTGACCTCCTCATCTCCTGTCATGTGATACAGGAGGTAATACCTCTTCCATGATTATCCAATCCTTATAGAGGAGCATTGGGAACCTAATGCGCATGCACACCAAGTTCTGCATGCACATCCTAGCTTCCCCATAGGAAAGCATTAAATTAATACTTTCCTATGGGAGATTCTCCATCATGTAATCAAGTTTTACTCAGTCAGTGCAGTGGAAGTGCCTCTACTGGCTGTTAGTATGAACTTAACTTAAAAGGAAAACTGCAGTTTTGCATTGCAGGGTTAAAAATAAAGGAAACTGCATCCATTGCTACTACTTTTTTGAGATGAAGTGGCTTAGGTGACTTTAGTCGTCCTTTAAAAAGGGGTTAAGCTGTTATCAAGCAAAAGCATCAAATACATAAAGTATAATCAAAAACTTCCAAATCCTCTAATGTAGAAAAGGGAGTATGAAGTGGCCAATCACAGTTGCAATATCCTATAACAACTCCTGCTGTCTGTGTTAAAGGACCACTACAGTGCCAGGAAAACATACTCAGGGACCCCCTCCCGTCCGGCTCTGGAAGGGGGAAAGGGGTAAAAACTTACCTTTTTCCAGCACCGGGCGGGGAGCTCTCCTCCTCCGATCCTCCCATTCGGCTGAATGCGCACGCGCGGCGCATTCTCTGAAACTGCTATGTTTATAAAAAAATGGGTTAATCCTAGCTGGACCTGGCACCCAGACCACTTCATTAAGCTGAAGTGGTTTGGGTGCCTAGAGTGGTCCTTTAAAGCAGCACTGGCATTGTCTGGAGACTTTGCATCATTTGCCAAGACCACCAACGACACTACCGCTGAGGTCTGGTGGCCAGGCGATGCAGGCAAAGGTGAATTTAAATTACCTGAAACTCTCTGTCTCGAGGCGCCACTATCTCCTTCCGGCTGGTCTTCTTCGCACATGCGTGAGAGTAAAGGATTGAGGTCTATGGAAGGTCCTGCAAGACTGTAGGTAGGTGTGCTCTGCATACAAAGAGCTGCTGGATCATGTGACCAGGTCTATCCTGTAGTAAGGGTTATTGGGAGTCAATAAATTAGACCGTGGGACTCAGCACCATCTTGACCACATCATTGTTCTTGCTCGGCGTCCAGCCACGCCCCCTTCCATCCTCCAACATAGTGGCTGGCTTCCCAGTGTGGATTCTTCTGGATCAGCAGCAAAAACAAATCAGAGAAAGGCTGAGACGGATGGACACATCTCTCTTTTCAACTCTTGTAACTAAGTAACTATGTCTTGATGTTAGGAGAACAAAAGAAGTGTGTGATACCTTTCTGGATTTTGGTTATCCATCCATGATCTGCATCTAGGGAATCATGGCATAGCTTTAGGATATTAGGCTGGATAGGTCGAGGTACATATATTTGTGAACTATGGTACCACAGACTTTGTCTTGCTGATAGAACAGGGTGTAACGTTGGTAGGTCAACATTGAGCTGTGTGGCAAGGAAATGTCGTAGTGAAATTATGCTATCTGGGATTGTGATTTGTGTCTCATGCATTTGAGAATGTGAGAGAGGGAAACAGCTTTTTGTTTTTTTTATCCTGGCTGATTGGTAATTTGCATAGGGAAGCGAGAGAAGTAAAGGGTCCACTGGTCTTGCCTTGGAGTGGTCCGAGGTGTTTGGCAGAGTGGAAGAATTCCAGGTTGTGGTGGAATACTGTGTATACTGTGATAGGATGAGAAGACCCCTCCAACAGGTGTTACCACTTCTCCAACGTACACTTATTGGCAAACCTTACCCTTTCACAAACTTAATTTTTCCAGAGGGTAACAATTTTTTGGAGTAGACAGCCATGGGATGGTGTTCATTGTTTTTTTTCTTCTTCTTGGGGAAAAATCCCTCCTATTGCAATGTTAGAAGCATCAACTTCAAGGAGGAATGCCTTGGTGGTGTCAGATTGTATCAGGGTGGGAGCTTGAGTAAAGAGCCTCTTGAGAGTATTGAAGGCTTCTTTATAACAAAATTTTAACAGTTTTAACATCATTTTTGCAACATATTAAAATTATATATATTTGAAGGTTTGGCCTGTAGTTGTGGGAGGGGCTTGGTTCCCCTTTAAAAAGGCTGCCAATCCACTCCCATCTTACCGTTGCTGGTCTGGCGAGTCTGAAGCGTTTTACTTCCGGTTCAGACCGCCATCTTGGATTTTCCTTACCTGTTTCCTCGTGGTCTTGTGGTCCGGTACTTCCCTGGCTCTCCTTCCCATTACCGGCGTCCGCACAGCCCGCTCGTTACTTTGCCGCTGCAAAAAACGTAAGTCAGGCCCGCCGTAAAGCAACCGCTGCAAATTCCCTTGCTTTACATAGCGGCGCCCCGTTCGTTTCAAACCAGCGTTTGGTTCTTTTTACCTTCATGCATTATGCCAATCGACTAATTCCCTCATCTACTCGCATGTTTCACTTTTTCTAAGCTAACGAACGCTATGAATCGGTTATATACATATAACATCATGTATATATTTGTATGTTTCAATACCCTACCTAGTTCTTTCAGTAATTACACAAACTCACGAATAAGCATGAATTCAGCCAGTACTCCAGGGGGAATTTTGCCCCTACTGGTTGCAAACGTTATTACAGTCACTTATATAAATTCTACTAAAGTAAATAGAAATGTTTAAACCTGGATGATGTGTTCTGATTTTCCTGACTTTTCCCATAGATTCATACCAGTGGTTCGTACTAGGAATTGTGATTTCTGACACTTGTATCAATTATAATTACTTCTAGGTTGGCTGGAATTTAATTATAATTTTAAATTTTGAAAGCCAATAATACATATTTGTGACGAGACCAATCTCGCCACATTGCATTGGAGAAGCCTGGTTGCTCGCCTGCTGCCTTTGGACTATGGCCCCCTTTTGAAAGACTTTATTTTTCCATGCAGAAAAGCCATATTCATGCTTTTCTGCCGGTTGTTCGGTAGTTTCAAACTACCGAACAACTGTACGAATGACTGGACCACCTGGGAGCTGGAGTGTGCCAGCAATTAACCTCCCTGAAGCTGCGGTTAACCGCAGCTTAATTGATGAACGCTGGGTGGCCGCCGTTCGTATCCCGAACACGAGGTCGCGGCCATTTTAAACCATACGAATGAACAGCGGTGTTCGCCTCTATTTTTATGGAACTAAAATCGGACACAGTTTTGCGCGAACACCGCTGAAGCCGCCGACCTCCCTTCTTGTTCGGTGAAAGCACACGAATGACCCGGTGTTCGGTATTTTTGTGTGAATGTCTTATACCCCAGATAGGAATCCCATGGAGCCCATTCGTATGAAACTGACTGTAAAGACTTTGGCTCCATGGCGATTAAACTGTATTCATGTGGTCTGAGTGCCATTCACCTAATAATGTGCACTCAGACCTGAGCTATCTGGGGATATGTTACATGTCTGTGTTTTATGTAGTAAATGTTACTTTGTGCATTTTAAAGTATAATGCTGGTTTTGTGTTCCCACGTGTGTAATGGAGTTTTGCCTTTGTCTTGGGAGATAATTGAGTTACTTCCCAATTATCTCCCAGGGCAGAGGGGAGGAAGCCAGGATGCATTGTGGGAATATACTGTGACTGTGTGTCCTTTTTGTATACTTGTCTGTCCCTTGTCACAGTCTCCCATTTGGTCCCCTAGGGGAGTGTCCACCAGGTGGGAGACCTGCATAAAAGCTGGGCAGGTAGCCCTCATTAAACAGACCACTGCTTGACCCTCAACACGGAGCCTTGTCTCGTCTTTGGGGGGATTTACTGTATGCTGCTAAGGACTGATTGCCAGGAGTGTAAGCCGCTTGGAAGCTTTTCCTGTTCGCCTGCTAGCAGCTATTCGTATGGTTCCTGTTCGTTTATTTGAAGTGCTACCTTATTCCCTTGTATGCCGTTCGGGAGTTTGGAGCATTCACTTATTGGCGGTTCGTGAGTTTTGGTGATTATACCGTAGCTGTGCCTGTCTCTGAAAAGGGGGATTATCGTCTAAGCGTTTTTTTCCCCTTTTATGCTAAACGGTCCGTTACAATTGGTGGCAGCGGTGGGATCGTTCCCACGGACTACAGGACAGCTACAGGAGACACCATTCCGTGGATTTACAATTTGAGGGCAACGCATGTCCCAGTACAGCGACCCTGACAGCAACAGCATGGAACCAGCAGTGGCGTACAGCTACTCAAGGAGAGAGTTTGACAATATGATGGGATTGCGGCTGAAGTACTACGGACCCAATCCACCGGAGAAATTGGTGCAGCTTATAAGGAATCTAGTGTTCAAGAATCTGCAACACCGGGCAGAAAGAGAAGGTCAGCTGGCACGTTGGGAAGAACTCCAGCGACAGGTACTGCAGGGAATTGGGAGCACAGTCTCCATTCCCCAGCGGCAGAGTGAATTGCAGGGAATTGGGAGCCCGAGCTCCATTCCCCAGCGGGAGATATTGCAGGGAATTGGGAGCCCAGTCTCCATTCCCCAGCGGAAGAGTGAATTGCAGGGAATTGGGAGCCCAGTCTCCATTCCCCAGCGGGAGAAATTGCAGGGAATTGGGAGCCCGAGCTCCATTCCCCAGCGGGAGATATTGCAGGGAATTGGGAGCCTAGTCTCCATTCCCCAGTGGGAGATATTGCAGGGAATTGGGAGCCTAGTCTCCATTCCCCAGTGGGAGATATTGCAGGGAATTGGGAGCCCAGTCTCCATTCCCCAGCGGGAGAGTGAATTGCAGGGAATTGGGAGCCCAGTCTCCATTCCCCAGCGGGAGAAATTGCAGGGAATTGGGAGCCCGAGCTCCATTCCCCAGATGGAGATATTGCAGGGAATTGGGAGCTCGAGCTCCATTCCCCAGCGGGAGATATTGCAGGGAATTGGGAGCCCAGTCTCCATTCCCCAGCGGCAGGCTGAGTTACAGGGGACAGAGATAGTTGCTCCTGTCCCCCAGCAGCAGAATGAATTGCAGGGAATTGGGAGCCCAGTCTCCATTCCCCAGCGGCAGTGTGATACGCAGGGAATAGGGAGCCCAGTCTCCATTCCCCAGCGGCAGAGTGTCCTACCGGGAATAGAGAGCCCAGTCTCCTTTCCCCAGCAGCAGGACACTGTATTGGGAGCGGAGACAGTCGGTCTCCCTCCACAGAGGATGAAAGTAGGTATGGGAGAGGAGCTTGCTACCACCTCTCCCCAGCGGCAGATCATTAATGAGCAGGGAATAGAGAGCTCAGTCTCCTTTCCCCAGCGGCAGAGTGTTATATTGGGAGAGGAGCCTGTTACCCCCTCTCCCCAGCGACAGGGCTGTCTAGCCAAAGGGGAGACAGTCGGTCTCCCCCTCCAGCAGCAGAGATGGGTAACCAAAGGGGAGACGGTCGGTCTCCAGCAGCAGCAGCAGAGCGGTGTATTTAAAGGGGAGACAGTCGGTCTCCCCCTCCAACAACCAGGCTTCCACCAGGCTACCCTCCCAGTAGCGCTGGCAACAGGGCAGAGTGCCGCTGGTCTCTGCCCACGCAGCAACCCACCAAGTCAGCGTACCCGTACCCAGCACAGCCGTGGTGAGGCACCTGGACATGGACAAGCTTCCCTTTACCCAGGTGTAGTAACCATTTATTGTGGGTGGGCTGTGCTGTTGATTATTTGTTGTGGGTGGGCTGCTGGACTAACAAGGGCACTGACCGGCAGGAGGTCAGATACCCTGTTAGTCTGTTTGGAAAAGGGGAGAGATGTGACGAGACCAATCTCCCCACATTGCATTGGAGAAGCCTGGTTGCTCGCCTGCTGCCTTTGGACTATGGCCCCCTTTTGAAAGACTTTATTTTTCCATGCAGAAAAGCCATATTCATGCTTTTCTGCCGATTGTTCGGTAGTTTCAAACTACCGAACAACCGTACGAATGACTGGACCACCTGGGAGCTGGAGTGTGCCAGCAATTAACCTCCCTGAAGCTGCGGTTAACCGCAGCTTAATTGATGAACGCTGGGTGGCCGCCGTTCGTATCCCGAACACGAGGTCGCGGCCATTTTAAACCATACGAATGAACAGCGGTGTTCGCCTCTATTTTCATGGAACTAAAATCGGACACAGTTTTGCGCGAACACCGCTGAAGCCGCCGACCTCCCTTCTTGTTCGGTGAAAGCACACGAATGACCCGGTGTTCGGTATTTTTGTGTGAATGTCTTATACCCCAGATAGGAATCCCATGGAGCCCATTCGTATGAAACTGACTGTAAAGACTTTGGCTCCATGGCGATTAAACTGTATTCGTGTGGTCTGAGTGCCATTCACCTAATAATGTGCACTCAGACCTGAGCTATCTGGGGATATGTTACATGTCTGTGTTTTATGTAGTAAATGTTACTTTGTGCATTTTAAAGTATAATGCTGGTTTTGTGTTCCCACGTGTGTAATGGAGTTTTGCCTTTGTCTTGGGAGATAATTGAGTTACTTCCCAATTATCTCCCAGGGCAGAGGGGAGGAAGCCAGGATGCATTGTGGGAATATACTGTGACTGTGTGTCCTTTTTGTATACTTGTCTGTCCCTTGTCACAGTCTCCCATTTGGTCCCCTAGGGGGGTGTCCACCAGGTGGGAGACCTGTATAAAAGCTGGGCAGGTAGCCCTCATTAAACAGACCACTGCTTGACCCTCAACACGGAGCCTTGTCTCGTCTTTGGGGGGATTTACAGTATGCTGCTAAGGACTGATTGCCAGGAGTGTAAGCCGCTTGGAAGCTTTTCCTGTTCGCCTGCTAGCAGCTATTCGTATGGTTCCTGTTCGTTTATTTGAAGTGCTACCTTATTCCCTTGTATGCCGTTCGGGAGTTTGGAGCACTCACTTATTGGCGGTTCGTGAGTTTTGGTGATTCTACAGTAGCTGTGCCTGTCTCTGAAAGGGGGATTATCGTCTAAGCGGTTTTTACCCCTTGTGTGCAAAACGGTCCGTTACAATATTAAAATTAGTGAAGTGTGTAAATTACTCTTTTAGGTTATTATACGTTGGACGGTAGCTTTTACAAGCACGGAAGCCATCATCTTCTTTTCGGTTAAATCTACCCTCTGCAGAGTGTCGGGTAGGTTCTTGTTTTAGGGCCCACGATCTGGCCAAACCACTACATTACAGTTTATATATCAAATCTCATGTCCACAGGTAAACACCTCGATACTCTTACAATCGCTGGTTACCTCTACGTTGACAGCTCAGCCTGACTCACATATCAGGTACTACGCCAGAACCCATTAATTTCCATGTTCTGAGTGGTACTGGTCCTAGGTTATGTGACCCAATTAGGAAAAAAAATTTCTGGTCTTAATCCATAGGCTAGTGGTCCTGCGAGACCAACACCCCCATCCTCATACTCGGAAGAATACGTCCCTCGGGCCAAATCATAGCTAGCCTTCTCGCATGGTTGCATAGAGAGGGCCTCACCTATCACTCCCATTCTATTTTATGCTTTAAACTGCCACCGAGAAGCCAACACCCCACCACAACGTTCGGTGGCCTCATACTTTCCCCTCGGGCCCACGCATAGGTAGTGCCTCTCAAAGCCGCTTGGCAATTAGTAGGGACTCATCTGTCACTATCATGAAGTGTAATTGTTTCACCGCTTGGTATTTAGCTAGCCTTACCAGTACCCACACATTCATTACAGAGTGACTGATTAAGCTACCTTATATTTTTCAGTTATGTCAAATACACCTGATATCCCTGAGGAACTCTCGCTACCCTGCACGCCCGCTAGGCCTGGTACCCCTGTTCCTGGAACAGACGTTACTAGTCCTTCATCACTCAGATCATGGACCATCCCACGTCTCACTGCAGTTCTTAGAAGACGCTGCATCCCTTTCCCAGCTACTGCTAGGAAGGCGCAGTTGTTTAGACTTTTAAACACTACCTCTGACAACTCTGATGCAGGGGAAGGCCCTAGTGGAACACAATTGCCGGCGTTTTACGCCATGATGACTTCTCTTATGTCATCCATCAGCACAATTAGCGATAGGCTGGATAAATTGGAAGCAAGTGGCGCTAAACAGACCTCTACAAACCTAATTGTTGCCAGTCACCCTCTCGCTGACATTATACCTGGTAATTCATTGGAATCCATATCAATAATTGAAGCTATTAATCCTTCGCACATGGTCCCATCTCACCTTTAAAAGGACATTCTGGAAGGCAAGGATGTAAACCTGGTTTCATTGCTTATAGCCTCCCAGGATGTCCTAGAGAATAGGACATTTGCATATGGGGATATATCAGTCGTACCAAGGGCAAGAGACCTGAGGCTGAACAAAAAATTGACCATCCCTGAATTTGTACTAGGTTTTGGGATCTATAGGGATGTTTACTGCTCAGTATACCCGGGGAAAAGAGCAGAGCTGGATGCATACATGCACAAGATGGTGGACCTGGGGCACAAATACAGTGGTACCGCTTTTTACGATTACCACCGTTCCTTTTCTGCAAAAGTGGCTGCAGCTCTGGCTCAGTTCAATTTAAGCATTAATTGGAGCAAATTGGACACTGAGTTATTCTGCAGGCATTTTGCAGGCCTCAGACCTCCAGCTTGTGCAGTTTGTGCATCTACAGCACATCACACAAATTTCTGCCCAAACACAGTAGAAATCGAACAAAACCAAACTACCTCTAACTTTCCAAAATCTGCTAGGGGATTAAAAGACAAACTGGGTAGGGATATTGTATTTCTAGGTAAATCCCAGGTCTGCAATAACTTTAATGCGGGGAATGTGGTTTCAGCTCTTGTAGGCTGATGCATGTATGTTCCCACTGTTTCAGGGCCCATACTAAAACTACGTGCCCGAATAAAGCATTCCCCAAACCGTATCACACGTGTGTGAACATCACATTATTGACCTCACTATTACAACTACACCCATCACGTCATTTCACTGACTATATTATTATAGGAATGGCTGAAGGGTTTCACACCGGGTTGGTCCATTTACCCTCCGGTACACTAGAATGCGACAACCTACAATCCACGTTAGACGATCCACACTTGGTAAACACTCTTATCTCGACCGAGGTGAAACAAGGGTTTCTGTTGGGGCCATTCTTTTCCCCACCCTTCACATCTTGGAGAACCAATCCCATAGGGGTGGTCACAGGGAAGACCTCACTCAAACCCAGACTGATAATTGATTTATCTGTACCACATTCCTCCACTGTGCCCAGTCTTAACTCTCTAATGCCTTCCGAAGAATTTTCACTCCACTACGCCACTATCGACCATGCCATAGGGGCCATTCTTCAAGCTGGCACAGGAGCATGGCTAAATAAAACCGACATGGTAAACCCTTTTAAATTACTACCCATGCATCCTTCCCTATGGCATCTACATGGCATTAAATGGCAGGGGATGTATTATTTCTTCACCCGACTAACCTTTGGCTCCAAAAGAAACCCACGTATTTTTGACACGTTTGCAGAAGCTTTATGTTGGTTGTTACTAAATGTGTGCAAGTGCCCTTCGGTTATCCACTATTTGGACGATTTCCTCACGATTGAGAACAACACACTCCCACCAGTAGTTTGAATCACATGTTGGCTTTGTTTGAATCCCTCAATATTCCTGGCTTCCCTCACAAAGCTTTGGGTCCAGATACCAACATGCAATTTTTGGGGATCCAACTAGACACGATACACATGCAGGCTAGTCTACCTCAGGACAAGATTGAGCGTACCCTGGCAAGTATTGAACATTACCTGCTACAAGGTCATTGCAATCGCAAAGAACTTCAATCACTGCTTGGATCGCTCAATTTTGCCATGAGGATCATACCCCAAGGTAGATCATTTATATCCCACCTTCTATCCTTGTTTCCACTATTCACCTCAGACACTTCACGTATCACATTAGATATACACGCAACCTCGGATTTACGCATGTGGTTTTTTTTTCTCACCTCTTGGAACGGGCGAACCATGTTTATACCACCCCCCTCCAACACTTCACCTACACTGTGGACAGATGCCGCAGCTAACACAGGCTTTGCGGCCATCTGGGGTGATCAATGGCTTTGGGGGCCTTGGCCGACCGAAGTCAAATCACTATCCAAATTCTCTGATACCTCGGCTTTATTCAAGTTGTACCCGATCGTGGCGGCAGCCATTGCTTGGGGAACATGTTGGTCGGTCAGGTGCTACTCAGATAATATGGCTATGTGCCATATTGTCAGTAAAGGCCGATCAGCATCACTGGTCATTATGAGACTACTAAGGCGTCTCACATGGGTAGCGGTCAATTCTTTATAACATGCATACACATTCCGGGGCACACAGACACCTCTGCTGATCACTTGTCTCGGTTTCATTTCCAGGCTTTCCTCTCGACACTACCCAACGCTTCCAGATGAGCGACACCTGCACCTCTATTCCAAGACATGATAATGGATTAAAGACTTTGTTAGATCTAGCACGTCACATTTCTCATATGGTACTCTCAGTAAACACTAGGAACAATTATGATAGGGCTTTTCACGTATTCACGAAATTTATCACCAAGTTTAACATCCACGACATGTTTGCGTTAGAAACTATTTTAAGTTTTACTTCTTTTTGCTACATCAACCTTAAACTATCCTTTAATACCATTAAACTATACCTAACCGGCATCCAGCACCATATGCTTATCCAACAACCTAACACTACGGGTTTCTTGATATCATATCAAATTAAAACATTACTTAAAGGCATTAAAAAATTAGATACACGTGTTCCCTCACAAAGACTACCCATAGACAACAACATATTCCACTCTCTATCCAACTTATTAGATTCATCTCCTTTTGAACCCATGACCAATAACATAATAAAAACAGCCCTATATCTCGCTTTTTATGGGTTCCTACGTCCCAGTCAATTTACAACCACGACCATCACAGCACACGATTACCTAAGAACTAATGATTTACAAAAACATACCGACCATTACATACTCTCCCTAAGACAATCAAAACCCAGCACCGAAGGACACACTATTCAAATTCCTCTGTACCCTACTCACAATATATGGTGCCCAGTAAAAGTTTTGGATACTTATTCCCTTTCAGTCCAAAAACAACCACAACAGCTTTTGTTTGAACTGCATGGACACACTCTGACCACAGCTAAATTCATGCTATACATACGACTACTGTTGACCAGGCTTGGCCTAAACCCCAATCAATTTTCAGGTCACTCTTTCCGTATATGGGCAGCATCTTCAGCATCCGCTAACCACATACCCGCTCATATTATTAAAGCTATGGGACGCTGGAAATCCTCTGCCTACACACTCTACATACCTAATCCCGTTAAAGAATTAAGACAAGCTTTTTGTGACTTATCTCAATAAACAAAGTTGGTTCACGAATTATGTTTCCTGGTAATTTTCTTTTTGACCACTTTTATTACAGGCCTACTGCTTTGTTGGTTCCGGCACACCACAACCGACTGGTGCTAACTTATGGATGTTATGATTATATTATGCTAAGATTTCTCTGTTCGGCCATATTGCCACGACTACAAATATATATATACAGGTGATTCTCGAAAAATTACAATATCCTGCAAAAGTTCATTTATTTCAGTAATGCAACGTAAAAGGGGAAACTAATATATGAGATAGACGCATTACATGCAAAGCAAGATAAATCAAGCCGTGATTTGTCATAAGTGCGATGATTATGGTTTACAGCTCATGAAAACCCCAAATCCACAATCTAAGTAAATTAGAATATTGTGAAATGGAGCAATATTCTAGGCTCACAGTGTCCCACTCTAATCAGATAAGTAAGCCATAACACCTGCAAAGGGTTTCTGAGCCTTTTAATAGTCTCTCAGTCTGGGTCAGTAGGAATCACAATCATGGGGAAGACTGCTGACCTGACAGTTGTGCAGAAAACCACCATTGACACCCTCCATAAGGGGGGAAAGCTTCAATAGGTAATTGCGAAGGAAGTTGGATGTTCTCAAAGTGCTGTATCAAAGCACATTAATAGAAAGTTATATGGAAGGGAAAAGTGTGGAAGAAAAAGGGATGACCGCAGCCTCGAGAGGATTGTCAGGAAAAGGCTTGTCATTCAAAAGTGTTGGGGACTTTCACAAGAAGTGGACTGAGGCTGGAGTCAGTGCACCACCACACACAGACGGATCCTGGGCATGGGCTTCAGATGTCGTATTCCTCTTGTCAAGCCGCTCCTGAACAACAAACAACGTCAGAAGCGTCTTACCTGGGCTAAAGAAAAACAGACCTGGTCTGTTGCTCAGTGGTCCAAGGCCTCTTTTCTGATGAGAGCAACTTTTGCATCATCCTCATTTGGAAACCAAGGACCAAGAGTCTGGAGGAAAAATGGAGAGGCACACACTGCAAGATGCTTTAAGTCCAGTGTGAAGTTCCCACAGTCTGTGTTGATTTGGGGAGCCATGTCATCTGCTGGTGTTGTTCCACTGTGCTTCATTAAGTCCAGGGTCAATGCAGCCGTCTACCAGGAAACTTTAGAGCACTTCATGCTTTCTTCCGCAGATGAGATTTATGGGAATGCTGACTTCATTTTCCAGCAGGACTTGGCACCTGCCCACACTGCCAAAAGCACCAAAGCCTGGTTCAATGACTGTGGGATTACTGTGCTTGATTGGCCAGCAAACTCGCCTGACCTGAACCCCATAAAGAATCTATGGGGCATTGCCAAGAGAAAGATGAGAGACATGAGACCGAATAATGCAGAAGAGATGAAGGCTGCGATTGAAGTATCCTGGTCTTCCATAACACCTCAGCAGTGCCACAGGCTGATAGCTCACATGCCATGCCGCATTGAGGCAGTAATTGCTGCAAAAGGGGCCCAAACCAAGTACTGAGTCCATATGAATGCTTATACTTTTCAGAGGTCTGATATTGTTCTATGTACATTCCTTGTTTTATTGATTGCATGTAATATTCTAATTTACTGAGATTGTGGATTTGGGGTTTTCATGAGCTGTAAGCCATAATCATCGCATTTATGACAAATCATGGCTTGATTTATTTTGCTTTGCATGTAATGCGTCTATTTCATATATTAGTTTGCCCTTTTACGTTGCATTACTGAAATTAATGAACCTTTGCATGATATTCAAATTTTTCAAGTATCACCTTTATGTATATATATATGTATATATATATATATTTATATATATATATATATATATATATATATATATATATAATGCCAAAATACCAGAGTATTGCAGTATGCAATGATACCTTTTATATTGGATTAACATAATATTTCAAAGACAAACTTTTGATCAGTATTGTTTCCGACCTGAGGAATAGAGGAAAGCTCTTGAAAGCTTGTCTTTGAAATATTATGTTCGTCTAATATAACATGTATCATTGCATACAGCAATACTCTGGTATTTTGGCACCTTGTCTACTGGACTAATACGGGAAATCCAATCTACACACTATCTATCTCTATATATATATATATATATATATATATATATACACATTGCACATTGATATATCAAAATATAGCAAAATATCAATATTTTCTCATTTGAAAAGCTTAGAATCAGTGTAAGCATATGGTTGGGAAGGGGGTTGCTGTAGGGTTAGCATAAAGTACCAAAAGTGAAATTAGAGCATATACATATGAGGCCTGACAATTTAGCTTTTTTATGTAGTTTCACTGGATGTGTAAATATTGTTAGACCTAAAATGTGAGAAAATGCACTCCTCCGCCATTCCAACACCGTATTCTTACTTGATATGTTAGCTATACATATAGAATATTAAAAGAAACCAATTTCTGTCCTTTAAAAAACAATATATAATATGTGTGGACTCACTCAAATGGACACTATAGTCACCAGAACAACTACAGCTTAATGTAGTGGTTTTGTGTCTATAGCATGTCCCTGTAATTATCTTAATGTAAACACTGCCTTTTCAGAGGTAATGTTACTAGATCTAACTTCAATGAAAAAATATACAAAATTAAATGCATGTAGGTTTTCATTTGGGGTATATCTACTAAATTTATTTTCTATTTGGGGAGTGGAGTGTCCCGTTAAGGGGACTAGCGTGTTTTTTGTGTTCCTGACCCTATAGTGTTCCTTTGAAAAAAACAAAAAACTTAAATTACAGTTGACAAACAAATAGTGTAAATTCCAAAATCTAGGTTTTGTTTTAGAACTTATATGTTCCAGGACAATATATTTTCATCACATCTTATTAAACATGCATTGTTCCTTGTGCCCATACAGTTGGCAGTATAAAGGATGAATATTTTAACCACTAGACTGCAGAAGAACTTATTTCAATATCAGCACTATGAGTATTTGTTGTTACGGTATTGTCTACTGGGAAAACTGCATGCCTTCTAGAAATGTATTTCACATGTCAGCCCTGTGTGTGTCTCATGAAAATGTGTTCCACCAGCCCCAGTACTCTGTGCCTTCTGCAAATGTTTCCCCTAGACCCAATACACCGGGTGCATTTGTGTCTGAAGCATGCCGCCAAACTATTTTAGGTTTCCAGGCCTAGTTCCATTATTTTATGTCCTGTATCCTCAAGTTTCCTTTTTTGTTTCTTTTTTTTCGCTGACAGTTATAATAATTTCATATTTAAGCAAGATTTATTGTGTCAAAGAAGTAATAGTGTAATTTATTATCCTGAGCTATTTCCTGCACATATTTCCTTCAGTGCCAGGATTGTGGTACTCACATTTCTTTTCACTGTACTGGTCATATCTCCTGCAGTCAAATGGTTAAACTTAAGAAATAAAGGCTTTCTGTTTGTTTGTTTGTTTGCTTGTTTGTTTGTTTGTTTGCTTGTGTATTTCTTTGTTTGTTTTGTGCATAGGAGCTGGAAAACTTGAGTTTAAACGGGCTGTGATGGTGGTGAAATTGTGCTCTGTGTGGAGTAAAGAAGACAGGGCCAAGCAGGCACTGACTAGATTTATGTACAGAATGAAAATTCGGTTCACCCAAATACTCTCATTAGAAAAATAAAATATTAGGCCCAACTGAATTGCTTCCATGTTTTAGTTTGGTCCGTCTGAATTTAATTTGCATATTATATTTGGAAACTAAATTTGGTCAAACTTTTTCATTTGTAACCTCTCACTCATTGCCTGAAGTGAGTGCGGAGTTAAAAATTAAAACAGCGAGGAGGGGTTAAAACATGTTCGCAATTCGGTTTGACTGAATAGTTTTTCATTATCAGATAAGACTATTTGGACTAGCCGAATTTTCCATCCATGCGCAAGTCTACTCTTTGTTAGCATCATAGAGGATGGATTTTGTTAGAGATAAAAATGCAGTAAGGTTCCTTATGGTTAAATACCTAAAAGGCTTTGGTATTTTAAGTACAAGTATCTATGTACCTTTATATGTAATGCTGGTTATTTGTTGGTTAGTTATTGGTAACTTATACGCCGCTTAATAAATGCTATGACCTTAACCCAACTATAAATTGTTTATATTGCTGTGTTGTATCTTTACTCATAATTATGTTGCATGCTCTCCATATGATGATATTATTCAGGCAACTGTGGAAATAAAATAATGTTGACTGCTTTTTCTTAAGGATATCTGAGTCAAGACAATTGTTTTTTTATATTGTACAGCACTATAGCAGATCATTTAGTTATCCATGATTTAATCTAGACATTGCAATCTTTGTGCAGGTGAATGGAGAGCTATGTGTGAGTTCTACGAATAGGACAATGTCAGTCATCAGAAAAGATGGGAATCCAGTTATCAAGCCTAAAATCAGATTAGTTTTTCTATTCCAAGTGACAGCTGTATAAACCATAATGCTACATATAAGACTCATACAGAGGTTTTTCAAAAAGAAAAACAACCAATATATTTCAAAATAGTAATATAATTCATTATTTTTTTATTTATTTTTTTAAACTTTAGTTTTTAGTTGAGGATGAAGTATAAATCAGAAGGAAGAATTACCACAATGTAAGAAATAATAAAATCAAAACAATATTTTAGGGCAATTAATTACAGCAAACATTGAATAAATTGAATATTGATTTAAGAAACTCATGACAATATGAAGGATGAGGCCATGTTTAAAAGGCTTGCTTGTAGCCATTATTCTAAAAAACGTATTGGTTTTATCTTAGATTAACGTGACATGCTCTAGCTCCTGAGGTGATATCAAACTGTTTCAAGAGAGATGTGGTATGGTGTCTGACCTCAGTTAACCAGACAGTACTTATGGGTTCCCAAGAACTGACTTTGTGCCCAAGGCTTATCATAGTTAACATGGTATAAACTGGTGCAATAGCTCATTTGTTTAATTTTAAAACCTCTTAACACCCTGTGGTTGGAGACTCAGTTCCCAGAAGGGTCAGTCATGCCTCTCATCTTTCTGGGGTTGATAAAATGAGTACCTGTAAATTACATAATAATTATATATACATATATAACATAACACATATATATTGAAGGCATTCTTGAAACTAAAGAACATGTCAGTGGCAAAATGGAGACCTGGATCTTAAAAAATCAGCTCCTGCAACAAACTGAATTTAAAACATGTCATGGTCGTAAACTGAGCTGCAGGAATTAGGTGGGACAGTGCTGTAGAAAGTTCTTAAACATTTAAGAATATTAGTACTTTTCTGGACTAATTGATTTTAGTTAGGCTTTAGTTAGTTCATGATGCATTCCATAGACGTTATGCTTAGTTAGCATGGTTAGATGTCTGTGTGCAAGACAAAGCTAGGTAAGTAGTTTGGTCATAGGAAAGTTTCCCTTTGTTAGAGATGCTCGGCCCACCTGTTTTAGCTAGTTGAGAAAATTTACCCAACAGGGCAATAAGATCGCATAGATCAATACATACTACATGCATGACCACTTTTTCTCTGTTCTGGTAGTAGCTTTTTGCTGACAATCATAGACTGATTCTTAGTCATATTCATATTTTGGAATTCCATGTAAATTTAAAGCCATAGTAGCTGAATGGAAAGCATATATTTGTTACAGTTCAGTTATTTTGACTGTAAATTTGAAATTCACTTTAAATTCTCACTTTTGTGAATAACCCTGCAAATTTAAAAATGTATTGAATTATACAGTTCAAGACTTTTTTCCCCCACCCTTACTGTTTTAGCCAAAGTTATACAGTTAGTTTGCAATTTGCCTAAATACAATATAGTGAAAAAGCCCCCAAATGTATTTTTTGGTAATATTATTCCTGAGTTATTTTATTTCTCTTTTAAATGAACGCTACAAGCATGCACTTTGTGAACATTTTATACCTTTGTTAGTTTAGAAATGAATAACAGATCGAACATGGATTATGTTATTGTTAACAATCCATTTACATGCGGTATTTTCTAGGCAAAATACTTCTAGAGTGCACTTTGCAAAGACTAAAAAGCAAGTTAAATTTAGATTTTTATTGGAATATATTTATACATGTATTGGAAACTATAAAACCCTGAATACCAAAACCTTGACTTGTTTTTGCAACATTCCTGACTCTTTTTCCTTTTTTTATTTATACTACATTAGAAATATTCTTAAGAAAAAGATTAAAAAGATATATAGCCTCAAAGGTATTTAATTTACTGGCAACAACCAAATTCTATACATAATATAAATGCTAGTAGTGGAACAACTTGAAATATAATAGATGCATTAGTTTAGTACTTTGCATAGTGCCTTTACGTAAAATGTGTTTATTATTGTTATGCTCAATGTAATCTATGTCAATAAATGTAAGTATAATAAAGACTGGTATATGGACCTATTTTTTTCTGAAAACATAACTATTTCCGTGTTCTATATTGCAGACATTCCTTAATTTCGTTTAATTTAGAATTGAATGGCATGTACTGTTGGTTTTGGAAAAATAAATGTTTCAGGCCTTGAAAATATGTATATTTTCTAGAGTTGTATGTGCATCCTTCTAGCTAGTACATTTTCAGAAAAAGACTCTAACATACCTCCCAACATCCTGAGCTGAGCCGCAGAGGGTTGTTGCCATTGATGCGGTCCACGTCACCAGCAATATACATAATAGGCAGACCTGTCTGGAAAAATGGTGGCAGCTTGCTTGTGTGGGCCCCAGACTTCAGGACCATGCAAGGAGTGATGCTGAAGTCCTAGTGCCTGTTACAGTAATTTAATGAAGATCTTGCACTAGGCTGCCTGGGGAAAGTTGAGAGACACCAGGGAAATAAAGTGGGACAGGGTCTCAAAATTATGACTATACCAGGCTAGGCCTTTAAATCTTAGAGAAATGCGTCCATATGCAACTACGTGAGTATTACCAACAATCTAACCATCTGATCCCTGATCAATCGGGTTTTCACCCGAATCACTCCACTACAACAGCCCTCTTAAAAGTTTGCAATGACATCCAAACTGGCATGAAACAAGGAGACCTAACTGAAGCTATATTCTTTGATTTTGCAAAGACCTTTGACACAGTAGACCACGACATTCTACTGCACAAACTCAAAAACTCAGGTATTGGTGATTGTCCGCTAACCTGGTTTCGATCATATGTGTCGGATCGCTCGCAATACGAGTCCATTAATGACAGCGATTCCCTACCTCTACCAGTCACGTGTGGTGTTCCCCAAGCTTCCATTCTCGGCCCCCTACTATTTACATTATTTATAAATGATCTGCCTAATGTCTGCAAATCCTCAAATGTACATATGTACACAGACGACACAGTAATCTATGCAAGCAAATCAAAAAACAAACTCTTCCTAAACACTGACAAAACTGTCACAATAATTTTTGGAACAGTACCTAAATTGCACAAATTATACAATTCCCACTTATCCATCAAAACAAATTGAAATAGCACACTGACCGCAGTCCACTCTTTCAAATACTTGGGTATGTTGTTAGACCACAATCTATCTTTTGGCCTCCACATCTAAACTTTATCCAAAACTAGGTACCATGTACAGAAACAAATCCTACCTAAGCCCTACAGTAAAGGAAAGGATTGTACAGCAAATGTTGATGCCAATCATTGATTTGGGGAATGTAGTATATGCACCTGCACTGCAAATCCACCTTAATAAACTCAATACATTGTATAACTCATTCTGCCAATTTGTGCTACAATGTTATTACAGGAACCACCATTGTGACATGCTAAAAGAACTAAATTGGTTGTCGCTGGAATCCAGACGCACCCTTCATCTTTCCAGCCTTGTGTTTAAAGGGACTCTCCAACTGCAGGTCCCCTCTCCCTCCCACCCCCCCCATCCCAAGTTGCTGAAGGGGTCAGGGTCCACCCACGCTCCTCCCCCGCCGACGTCATCCTGCGGGGGAGACCTATTGTGCATGCGCGGCCGGCGACGGGGGAGACCTAATGCGCACGCGCATTAGACCTCCCCATAGGAAAGCATTGCAAAATGCTTTCAATGCTTTCCTATAGGGATTTCAGCGACGCTATAAACCAGGAAGTGGTGCTATAAACCAGAAAGTGCCCTCTAGTGGCTGTCTAGTAGACAGCCACTAGAGGGGGAGTTAACCCTGCAATGTAAATTTTGTATATATTGTGTATTAATATTGTTTTTGTATTTTATTGTACCCTATTGTATCAATGAAATGTTTTGTGGACACAGGACATACTTGAAAATGAGAGAAATCTCAATGTATCCTTCCTGGTAAAATATTTTATAAATAAAATAAATAAATAAAATATCATAGGGATTTAAGTTAGAGGGGAAGTTATATTATACAGCTATGGACTATCTGTAAATTGTAGGAAACATTGAAACAGTGCAACATGCATCTTCCAAAACACACACACTTTCTCTCTCCTCTCGCTTTTCCATCTTCTCTCTCTCACAGTAACAGCATCAAAAGTGCCATTGGCTTGTCGTGACAAAGTACAGGCTTTCTGTGGATTTGTTATGAAATATCTGTGCATTTGTTAGAAAGTATATAGGTTTGCATCTCAAGTATGCCAAAGGCATAATATAGGTACTTTTCATTTCAAACCATTTTTGTGAATG